TTGGGAAGAAGTAAGAAAGGAGAAGGAAGAGTAGGCATGGAGAGGAAAGTAGATTAAACAGGTGAAAAAATTCCAGTACTTAGGATATACATTAAAGAGCAATAACTCAGATAGATCGCATATTCAAAAAATGGTCCAAAAACCGAACAAAGTGATAGGAATAGTATGGAGAATAGGAGAGAGAAAATTTGGACATGTTTATAAGAGAAGAATGATGATGTTTGATAGTTTGATCAAAAGTGTATTTATGTATGGAGCTGAGACTTGGGGATGGAGGGAATGTGAAGAAATAGAGAGAGTGCAAGAAAAACACTTGAAATGGACACTGGAATTGGAAAAGTATACGCCGGGGTATATAGTGAGAGAAGAAACAAAAAGGGAAAAAATGAGAGTGGAAGCGGGTAAAAGGGCGGTTGGATTTGAAGAGAAGTTCAGTAAGAGAGGTGATTGTAAAATATTGCAAGAATGTTGGAAAGACATAAGAAAGGAAGGGGGAAAACATGTTTGGAACGAAAGAGACAAGTATTATGAAGGAAAGGGATATGCATGTGAAGAAATAGAGAGAATGAGAGAAATGGGAAGGAGTATGAAAGAAGAACTGAGTGTAAGAGATGAGGATATAGATAAGCAAGAACGCAGATCGAGAATATCGGAGTCTAGATATAACGCAGAGTATAGAAAAATAGTAAAGGATGAAGTACCAAAGTACACAGAGAGAGAGAGTATAAAGGAGAAAAGCATGATGGCGAGATTTAGGTGTGGAAATGAAGAGAAAGAGAATAATTTCTGGATGGATGAAACTGACAGAATGTGTAGGATATGTTGGAGAGAGAGAGAAACAATAGAGCATATGCTGGAAGGGTGTGAAGGATTGAGAGAATCGGAGGAAAGTAGGGAAGAAGTGCTAAACGAGGATGGAAGAGGACTGGACTGGATGAAAGAAGTACGGAAGAAAAGGGAACTAAGGCAAGGGGTGGGCAAGCAGAAAGAATAGAACAATTATTAATCTTAATAAACACGTATCAGCCTCATCAATACAAACATAGAACAATTATTATTATATAAAACTCGAATATTTAGTTTATTTATTTTTATTGATTTATTTGTATTATGTAGATTAAGTTAGTTTGTACCCCTACTGGGATCTTATTAAGCCTGTAAGGTAAATAATAAATTAATACTACTACTACTACTACTACTACTGTACTCGTGGTTTATGAATCTTCCATGATTTTTATCACAATGTCGAAATCATAATGACTTTCAACCAATACGTTAAAATAAAGATACTATAGACTATTGAAGTACCCGTAAAGACAAGCTTAGATCATATAATAATATTATATGATATAAGGTTACAAGTGAGTTTTCCCAGGGCACAATTTTGTGATGACGTTATAAACATGTTTTTGGGACACGTATCAATTTGAATAGGTGCAGTCTAAAAAAATTGGTCTAAAGAGTTTAGACAGTACTTCCCTCGCTGTCGGAAACTTGACGACTGCATGCCTATTGTGTTTTTTTTCTCATTACATTTTTGCAGTGGGAATTTAAAAAAAAATTGTGATGACGTCATCAACATTTTTGCAAGGACACGTATATCAGTTGGGATAGATGTAGTGTAATACTAAGAATAAAATTATTGTATTCACAAATTTTCGGGAAAATGAATTGGGTCGTTTTGAATATTGATTTCTTATAATCAATAAAATAACGAAACAATTTACTCACGTATACGGCGCCGGTGTGTAATATCTAGAGAGCGGATTTCTGTCGGGCTAGGCAAGGCCAAACTCGGTACGGCTCGTACGGGATGCGAATTCATTGCGGTTGCGGACTGCACTTCGTTTATTTGAGATTAGAATAACGCTGTTTCGTTGCACTCTGCTGTTAATTCCCGTTCTCATTTACTTAGCCGTTTGATTAATAAATCGTTAATTATATTTATGGAATTAGTACTGATTAAATTCAGTGATTATCTATTACCCGCTACTGAGTCCCGGCGATCCAGCGCGTCCCCACCTATAATCGTGACGTAGCCCGACAAAAATCCGCTGTCTAGTAATATGAAAGGCAACTGAAAATCGTTTATGTATAAACATTCTTAATTTAAGATGACAAGCGTAACAGCATACGTGAGAGTCAAACAGAGAAACTGTAAACAAAACGACCATCGGTTTTATTGCTTCGACTTCCGCTTATTATATAAAACATTGGGTTTTATTTTAATTCTTGACGGTGAAATTCACAATTGGTTGATTATAAACATGTCTATTTCACATTCGCGGAACCAAGTGAGCGCATAAAACAAATGCAGGTCTGTAATGTTAAAGTCGATGTAAATAAGCGTGCTACCCTTATGTTTCAACCGAGTTTTTCCTTTAACAAATTTTGTGTCTACCAAATTGGGTTGGTTGGGGTGTAATACTAATAATAAGTGTTGCCTTTAATTTAATCAATAAAATAAATTGACTTCATTAATTTTTTTGAACCACCTCTTAAGAAAATCTAAAAAATATGAATGGAATGATAAATCGCAAGTACAAACTCATCATATTTTTTGCATTTTAGATAGGATTTATTCAGCAAAATTTAAGGGTGACGTCATCAATTTTTTTAGGAGGGATGAACAAATACATTTTGAACAAAAGTTTACCATGCTTATAATAACTTTAAAATATTCCCAAGATTTCAAAGCATTCGGTTTTGTAATTCCTGATTAAATCGATAAAATAAATTCACGCCTTCATTAATTTTTTTGAGTCACCCTGCATATGCAAATCCAAAAATATGAATGGAATGATAAATCACAAGTACAGACTCATCATATTTTGTACATTTTAGATACGATTTATTCGGCAAACTTTTGAGCTGACGTCATCAGTTTTTTGTAGAAGATAATCAAATATATTTTGACTAAAAATTTATTATGCTCTTTGTAACCTTAAAACATCTGCAAGATTTCAAAGCATTCGGTTTTGTAGTTCCTGATTAAATCGATAAAATAAATTCACGTCTTCATTAATTTTTTTGAGTCACCTTGCATATGCAAATCCAAAAATATGAATGGAATGATAAATCACAAGTACAGACTCATCATATTTTGTACATTTTAGATATGATTTATTCGGCAAACTTTCGAGCTGACGTCATCAAGTTTTTGGAGGGGATAAGCAAATATATTTTGACTAAACATTTATTATGCTCTTTATAACCTTAAAATATCTGCAAGATTTCAGAGCATTCGGTTTTGTAGTTCCTGATTAAATCAATAAAATATATTTACGCATTCATTAATTTTTTTGAGTCACCCTGTATATGCAAATCCAAAAAATATGAATGGAGTGATAAATTACAAGTACAGACTCATCATATTTTGTACATTTTAGATATGATTTATTCCACAAACTTTTGAGCTGACCTCATCAAGTTTTTGGAGGAGATAAGCAAATATTTTTTGACTAAAGATTTATGATGCTCTTTATAGCCTTAAAACATCTGCAACATTTCAAAGCATTCTGGTTAGCAGATTAAAAATTAAATTTCAAAATGTTGTTTTATAATTTTGATTTTTTTTCCAAAAATCTGGACGTTTCGGGTGAAAAGACGATTCAGAGTTGTAAACTACATGTGTAGGACTATGTTATTTTATACAATTGAAAACCCATTTACTATGTACAATTTTGAAGTGACGTCATCGCATTAGTGGTGGGGATGCTTAGACAAATTTTGGTTAGCGTTTTACCATCTACATGATAATCTTAATATAAGTACAAAATTTCACAACAATCGGTCGAGTACTTTCGGAGATTATCTGTCTAATAAAAATCCGGGACGGCAGACGGACAGACGGACAGACGGACGGACAGACGGACAGACAGACGGAAATGGGAGACCTATTTCTTCGTCTTCTAGGGGTCATGAAAGATCGAGAAAACGTAAAAGTAGAGAGTCGGCCGACGGACTCGATTACAATACTTCCTTTGCTTACGCTCGGGAAGTAAAACTAATAACAACAGTAGTGTATACTCAAATTTTGGGGAAACATGCTAAATTTCAATGCAAGATTTCGGTTTTGCAGTTTTAAAATTAAATTGCAAAGTGTGCAATACAATTTTAATTTATTTTTCCAAAAATCTGGATGCCAAAGGTAACAACTCAACACGGAACCATAAACTATTACATTGTAGTTCTAGTTACGTTATATGACAATGATTTATTTATTTGTCATTCTAAACGTCATTGACAAATTAATTAATTACTGACGAAAATATCCGTCCATTTTTGTTTATAACACTGCAGCGATTTCAGATTAATAATTCGTAACAACTATTATGCATAAAGTTCCAAAAAACTGTTGCCACGAGGCAATTAAACCTATAGCTTGGCTAATCGGAAAATGGAAAAATATCACTGGAGAAGGCTTCTACCCTACAATAGAACCTTTTACTTATTGTGACGAAATAACGTTTGAAAGTATAGGTCAACCATTGTTAAATTATATGGCACAATCTTGGGATCCTATACAAACCAAACCTCTACACTTGGAAAGAGGTTTTTTACGAATTAAACCTGGAACAAACCAGATTGCTTTTATGGTGGCTCACAACATCGGAGTGACTTCCATAGAAGAAGGAGAAGCTAATGAATGTGAAATGAGATGTCAGTCAACACAAATAAGCAGTATGAGCTTTGTTCGAGATCCTCACGTCTGTTCACTTCAACGGTTAATAAAAATGAATAAGGATGGCAATTTGGAAATAAATCTTTTCATGGAAACTGTTAATACTCCGTTAACTCAACATTTAAAAGCTGAATATAGAAACTGTTGAGGTATAAATTAAACGAAGTCCTTATTTAAAATTGTTTATTTTTTATATAAATATTTTACGAGAATAACATTTTCGTAATGTAGATTTTCCTTATTTCTTGTGGAGGGGTGGGGAACTTGGAGACTGGAGACTGTGCTGGAAACTTCTGAAATTGGTATTCGCGGTTCGCCGAACTTGCACGAACGTGGGATATGCGTCGCATCGTGGAATCGGTATTAAACGTATAAATTTGTGTCTTAAATATGGTCTTAAAAAACAACTCGAAGGACATGTAAAACAAGTATTTGTGGTTTGTGTAAAATAGTTTAATTTATCGTGGCCTAGTGTAATCTACAGACTTGTTTTTTTTTTGTAAAGCAAATTACACCGCAGTTGGGATTGTCACATTGTGACAAGCGTTCGTTAACAACGAACGGTGAGGTTAGGATTCGCACTGCTCCAGTCAATACCATCTCCACTATATTTTCCAGGTAAATAACAATCAAGATTACAATCAGACTCTTTTTGTTTTCATCAAGTTTTTATGGTAAATAACGAATTCAAGTGTAAGTAATAGTACCTATGCACAGTTTGTTAAATATAATTTATTATGAAGTAACCACAAATAAACGAACAATAGTTCGGCTCCTGATAATATAAATTAATATTTTTTTCACGTTCGTTAAAAAAAGTGTAACATTTTTATTAATTTTTCTTTACAAAGGATACGTTTGTTTCATCGCACCAGAAGGGTGAAAAAGGGTGTCATAGCGTTTCTTTTTTTCACGCATTTAAATGAAAAAGTGTGTCGTAGCGTGTCATTTTTAACGGAAGACATTTAAACGCAAAACAGAAGACAGCCGTTGCTATGGCGATTCATCAACACATTTCACATTTGTCCGAAATTAAAATGTATCCAAAGATTTTGGAATTTATCCTTATTTAAGTGTTTTGTATATTATTAGTTTTCTCGGTGTTCGTAATTTAGTGCTCACCTATTGCCGGAAAAATCCAAAGGCCAAGTATTTAAAAGAATACGACTTATTTATGAAATGGAAAAGTGAAAAACAAATCTATACTTTTAGTGAACGAATTGTATTAGCCTACTTTGAAGAAAAGTAAAAACAGTGGAAATCACAACAAAACACATTCAACTGACAATTTTTTGAGTTTTAAACTTTGTTTTTTAATTTTTCGATTTCATGTTTTTTTATTTTTCAGCAAGAACAAATTTATCCAAACTAAAATATTGGAAAATTGTTTGAAACAATGAAGAATACAAAAATTTTAAAATGAAAAATCCAAAAATTTCGAAATGAAAATCGAAAAACTAAAAAATCGAGACACCGAAAAATTGAAAAATTGTAAAAACATAGAAAAATTAAAAATAAAACTGGAAAATCGGTAACTGAAAAATGGGAAAAATGAAAAAATAAAAAATGCCGAAAAATCGAAAAACAAAACAATTTTGCAATTTTTCAATTTGAAAGTTTTCAAGTTCTTGATTTCCAATTTTAATCAAAATAAAATTTTGCAAAATCGAATAACTGCAACACCGAAACATTAAAAAATGCAACAATTAAAACTCGAGAAATTAAAAAATCGACAAAACGCAACAATTCTGCAATTTTTCGATATATTTTTCAAATTCTCGATTTTCATTTTTTAATTGTTCAACAAAAGGATAAATTTATTCAAACCGAAATTTCGAAAAATTTAAAAATCAAAAAATTTTAACATTGAAACGTCTAAAAATTATAAAATTGAAAAATCAAAAAATTTAAGAATTGAGAAGTCGAAGAATTGAAGAAATAAAGAAAAATTGAAAAAACCGAAAAAAATGGGAATCAAAAATTGAAAAATGAAACTTGAAATATCGAAAAATTTTAAAATTGAAAAATGAAAAAATGAGAAATTAAACAAGTGGATAATTGAAAAATCGAAAAATTGTAATATGGAAACCTTAAAACACTGATTAATTAAAAAATCGAGAAACTGAAAAATCGACAAAACTAAGCAATTCTGCAATTATTCGATTCAAATCTTCCAAATTCTCTATATTTAATTTTTCATTTTCTCGACTTTTCATTTTTTAATGGTTTAACAAAGGACTAATTTATTCAAACTGAACTTTTGAAAAATCAACAAAAAGAAACAATTCTGCAATTTTTCGATATAAAATTTTTCAAATTCTCGATTTTTATTTCTTCATTTTCTCGATTTGTCATTTTTTAATAGTTCAACAAAAGGACAAATTTATTCAAACCGAAATTTTGAATTGAATTGAAAAATAAAAAAAATGAGAAATCGAAGAATTGAAAAAATAAGGAAAAGTTGAAAAAACCGAAAAAATAAGACTCAAAAACTGAAAAATGAAACTTGAAATATTGAAAAATTGAGAAATTGAACAATGGGGTAATTGAAAAAACAATCGAAAAATTGTAATATTGAAACCTGAAAACCCTGCTTAATTAAAAATCGAGAAAGCGAAAAATTGGAAAAACGTCAAACAAAAACTTCTATTAATTAAACAATCAAAAATACAAAAAAAAATCAAAATTCAAAAATTTTAAAATGAAAACCAGAAAACTAAAAAATTAAGAAATTGTAAAAAATAAACATGGAAAAATTGAAAAATTCTAACATCGAAAAGACGAAACACTGAAAAACCGGAAAATTTAAAAGTTGAGAAATCGAAGAATTGAAAAAATACAGAAACTGAAAAATCGGAAAATGGAAAAGCCAAAAATTGAATAATAAAAACCCTAATAATTGTATGAAAAAAGTGAAAAATTAAAAATCGGCATATTTAAAAATGAAACAATTACAAAATTGTAAATTTGAAAAAAAAAATAATAAAAAATGGAAAAATTGAAAAATAAAAAAATTGAGAAATCGAAGAATTGAAAAAATAAGGAAAACTTGAAAAAACCGAAAAAATAAAACTGAAAAATGAAACTTAAAATATCGAAAAATTTAAAAATTGATAAATCGAAAAATTGAGAAATTGAACAATGGGATAATTGAAAAACCAATTGAAAAATCGAAAAATTGTAATATTGAAACCTGAAAACCCTGATAATTAAAAATCGAGAAAGCGAAAAATTGAAAAAAAACGAAAAACAAAAGCTTCTATTAATTAAACAATCAAAAATACAAAAAAAAATCAAAATTCAAAAATTTTAAAATGAAAACCAGAAAACTAAAAAATTAAGAAATTGTAAAAAAGAAACATGGAAAAATTGAAAAATTGTAACATCGAAAAGACGAAACACTGAAAAACCGGAAAATTTAAAAGTTGAGAAATCGAAGAATTGAAAAATACAGAAACTGAAAAATCAGAAAATGGAAAAGCCAAAAATTGAATAATAAAAACCCTAATAATTATATGAAAAAAGTGAAAAATTAAAAATCGGCATATTTAAAAATGAAACAATTACAAAATTGTAAATTTGAAAAAAAAAATAATAAAAAATGGAAAAAATGAAGAAATGAAAAATTGAAAATCAAAAAATGAAAACCAAACTGGCAATATCGAAAAATTGAAAAAATTGGCAAACTGAAAATTGGGAAGCGAAAAAACAGTTAGAATATGGAACAACTGAGGAAAAGATAGAAACTGTAAAATCGAAAAATTGTAATACTGAAACCTGAAAACCCTGATTAATTAAAAGTCGAGAAAGTGAAAAATTGAAAAAACGAAAAACAAAAACTTCTATAAATTAAACAATCAAAAATACAAAAAAAAAATAATTTCGAAATCCAAAAATTTTAAATTGAAAACCGGAAAAGTAGAAAAATAACAAATTGTAAAAAAGAAACATGTAAAAATTGTAACATCGAAAAGACGAAACACTGAAAAATCGGGTAATTGAAAAGCCAGGAATTGTACATTTGAAAAAAATCCTAATAATAATGATTTGAAAAAAGTCAAAAACTAAAAATCGGGAAATTTAAAAATGAAACAATTACAAAATTGTAAATTTGAAAAAAATAAATAAGAGGTAAAGTCGAAAATTTGTAACATTGAAACCTGAAAAAGTGGTAACTTAAAAATTGAGAAATTGAAAAATCGAAAAAACGAAAAATTGTAAAAAGATGGAAAATATAAAAATTTTAAATTCGCAAAATTAAAATATCTGCAAATTAAAAAATGGAAACATACAAAAATTTTACTGAAAAATAAAAATCATAATGAAAATCGAAAACTAACAATTAAAAAAAACAAAAATTTAAAAATCTCGAATTGAGAAAATAAAAAATCGAACAAACGAAACCACTTGGAATTACATACTTGAAAGTACTTCATTTTTAATTTTTCATTTTTTAATTTTTGACCAAAAAGACAAAATTATTAAAAGTGAAATTTTAAAAAATCAAAAATCGGAAAATTGTAAAACTGAAAAATTGAAAAATCAAAAAATTAAAAACTGAAAAATCGAAAAAGAAACATTGAAAAACCGAACAATTTAAAAATTGAGAAATCGAAGAACTGCAAAAATAAAGAAGCTTAAAATCGAATAATTAAGAGGTCAACAATGAAAAAACAGAAAAATCGAACAATTGAAAAATTGAAAATCAAAAATAGAAAAACGAAACTTGAAACGCCGAGAAATTTAAAAATTGTAATCTTGAAACTCAAAAATTCGACAACGGAAAATTAGAAAAATTGAAAAAATAGACAATGTAAAATCGAAAAATTGATTAATTAAAAATCGAGAACTAGAAAAATACGGAAAACAAAATACAACAATCGACAAATTGTAAAATTAAAAAATCGAAAACTGCAAAATTGAAAAATATGAAACATTGAAATGTTGAAAAAATAGCGAAAGTAAAAAATCAGATAACGAAAAAACCAACAATTGAAAAATCAAAAAATAAAAATATCTTAAAATGGAAAAGTCGAAAAAACGAGAAACTGTCAAATCTAAAAATTATAACATTGAAAAAGCTGACGAAATAAAAATCGCAAAACTGAGAAATCCTAAAATAGAAAACTAAGAATCTTAAAAACTTAAAAAATAGATGCGAATTAATGTATGCTGTCATTAATGAATGTCAAATGTCATATTCGTAAAACCAATTTGAACTGCGAATTTTCAACGCAGACGTTTACCATTAAAAAAGATGAGCGAAGCCCCAAATTTACCGCACCATTTTCAAACCATCAAAACATTTGTAATGAAAACACTCACTTGAATCATACACACATTATGCTTCTTTACCTTTATTTTAAGTTGTAAGCGTTCATAAAAAAATAAAATTCCCAATCAAGTTTTATCATTTTTCGCAAAAGCTGGATACGCTATACTTACTGTGTTTTATACGTTTATGAATCTTACGATATTTGAATTATTAAGCAGTTGCTTATTTTACAGGCGAAACTAACCCATCCTGAAATGAATCTCACATGTACTATCTGTAGTGATGGAATCGTTGCAAGTTCCGAGATTTATGCAACCCACTGTGGTCATTTATTTCACTATCCGTGTTTAATACAGTGGATTGAAAGGTAACGAACTTCTCTTATGTTTTATTTTCGTATTATAATTTTTTTCAGGTCGAAAACATGTCCCCAGTGTCGTTACAAAACTACAGAAAAAAATATGCATCGCATTTACTTAAATCATACAAACTTAGAATGTAGTGGAGACGACTTTGCAACGTTACAAAGTAAATACGATAATGTTCAGTTTCAATTAATGCTTAAAGAAAAGGATGTTAAAAACCTTTCAGAAAAGTATAATCGAACCAAGCAACAGAATATAACATTAAGGTAATCTAACTTTCTAAATTTTATTTTGTCTGTGACTCTAGTTTCTAGTATAATCGTTATAACAGTTATAAATTCTAGTGCAGGGTGATAGATGAACTTGAACATTTATACATAGAAGAGTTTTATTTACGATTTAGAAAAAATAAAATCTTTGAACACTCATATACATACAAACCCTGTGTTCGTATTGTGTTCGTACACATTCGTGAATGCACGGAGAAGCGTTTGACTGAGTCAGTAGCGTAACTAACCGTTCAACGTTGAATTTTCTTGGACATAATCTCCGAAACTACCGGATTAATTGTTGTTAAATTTTGTGTCTTAGGAATATCGTGTGACGTAATCTCCAAATTTTACAATAATAAATGTAATTTAAATTGACTTGCAAAACCGATTCTACAGCCTTGCTTTAAACGATTTTTTTTTTTTGTAGGGAGACGATTAGCGAGTTAGAAGGTAAAACAAGATCATACGATTCTGTGATCCACAATTTAAAAGATCAAATATCATTTCTTAAGTGTAAAGCTAAAGAACGGGATAAAGTAATGGATGAACTAACAAAATTTAAAACAAAATTAAAACAAATGGAAAACATTGAACTAGCGGTAAACGGTTCAAGAGAAGAAGTGACTGAAATGTTGAAAAATGAAAACGATGTGGATTCATTGGTTATTTTAGTAGCAACATTAAAAAAGTTAGTACGTAACAAATTCATTATTGGTGAGTGTCTGTACCCTTATTTTTAATTTTTTAGAGCCTTACTTGATGTGGAAAAAAAGAAAATTAACATGGAACACAAGTTCAAACAATTGCAAACGGACATAACAAAATATCGCAAGGAAATTACTTTTCTGGAAACAAAGAATAAAGAATTACAGTAAAAAACTTTTGTGTTGTTGAGACGTAAAATTTGGATTACAATGTTTTGCAGAAAGAGGGTTGATGTAACAGATTCACTGTCTGTGAGAGAAATAAATTCACCTCGGGTAATTACAAATAAGTTGGAGGAAGTTCATCCAGAGGTCGGGTCGGCTAAGAGAAAAACGTCATTTGAAAATCAAGGTGGGCAGAATACTTCATTGGTGGGAATGCTGCATTCTGAGGTACCATATGCTAATTACTACGTATTGTAAGAAATTATACAAACATTTTTCCAGAAAGAAAAAACTGTTAAAACTGTGGGAGTAAATTCTCCTTATTTGAATATTAAAAAAGGCTGTAGTAGTTTAGATTTTCCTTTGCAGAAGACAGGCTGTAACGTCAAGACATTATCTCGTGATAAACAGGTAAGAAGACAAATTATAATGCAATCACTTGCATTAAAACTGCATTTTTAGGTATCAATATTTAAAAAACCAAAATCCAACATCAGTACAATTGCATCATCAAGATCTGAGATTATGATGTACAACGGATTAGGAGGACAATCAAAAGAAGATGTATATCCAGCCCCAAATTCGGAATTAAAGTACAGGAATACAGGAATTAAAAGAAATAGCATTGATGTAGGGGCGTCGTCTTCTAAGTTTAGAAAAGTGAATTAAGTTATCACATTAATGAAATCATTCTAAATGTGTGACTAATATAACACTGATTTGTAAAGAATGTTACAGTTAATAAATTATACGTACGACTTCGCGAATTATACTGTCAACAGGTTTGAATTTTCACGTGGTTGTAAAGGAAGGTTGATTTTTTCTTTGATAACAAATGCATAGTATTTTGTAATGAAGTATGGAATTTCAGTGATATCTATGTCAAAACATGGATATTAAATATATTGTTTTATAACCCTTAGGCAACAGTGAATTGCCCCACATTTATGTCTGCAGCAGTGGGAAGGAGAAACTCGTCGCCTGAGAACTTGTTTGATCTACAGACCAAAGCGCGCTCAGGCCAGTGTCGACTCTAAACGTTCAGAAGCGATTTGGTTGGTTTGAACTATAATTTCTGCGGGAAATAGTTGTTTGGTCGGATTTTATAATGACTAATAAGTGAATATTTTTGGCACATATTTAGATGATTTTACGTATTTTGTTTAACTAAGAATTAATTCTTTATTTGTGTTTTATACTAGCAAAACGTCTTAAACTAACAATATTGTTGAAATCGTAATAACCCAATGGATTTTTTCGGGAAAATGTTTTGGAAACACTGTGTTCTATTTTGTATGAATTTTTAAATGTTTTTAGTGACAATTTTTGTGGTTGTTTTCGATACAAAAATCGAAACCTTAAAAAATCGTAAAACCGAAACTTGAAAAATCGAAATATCGAAGAACTAAAAATCGAAAAATGAAACATCAGAAAATCGAAAAAATATAAAATTCAAAAATCTAAAATTTAAAAACCGAATAACGAAAAATCCCAAATTTAAAAAGTCGAAACATCGAAAAACTGGAAAGCCGAAAAATTGAAAGATTGAGAAATATTAAAAAATTAAAATATCAAAAGATCTAAAAATCTAAAATTTAAAAATCCAAAAATTGAAAAATCGAAAAAGTAAAAAGGTAAAAACAGCGAAAAATCCAGAAGTCAAAAATAGAAAAGCCGAAGAATTGAAATATTGAAAAATCCTAAAACTGAAATATCTATAAACTGATAAATGAAAAAATCTAAAAAGTGAAGTCGAAAAATAGAAACCTTAAAAAATCGAAAAATTGAAAAATCAAAAACCTGAAAACTCAAAAAAATTAAAGAACTGAAAAACAGGAAAATCGAAACACTCGGAAGGTCAAGAAATGGGAAAATCGAAACATCGATTAATTGAAAAATCGGAAAATTGAGAGTTTATAAATGTCGAATTTGAAAAATAAAAAAATTGAAAATTTGACAAAGTGACAATTGAAAAACAGAAAATCTAAAACCGGGAAGTCGAAAAATCAACAAGATTAAGAAATATTGAAAAATTAAAATATCAAAAGATTGAAAAATCTAAAATTAAAGAAAAAAAAATTAAGAAATCGAAACATCTGAAAAATTCGAAAACTTTGAAAAATTGAAATATTGAAGAACTGAAAATCGAAAAATGAAACATCAGAAAATCGAAAAAATGTAAAATTTAAAAATCTAAAATTTAAAAACCGAATAACGAAAAATCGAGAAATCGAAACTCCCAAGTTTAAAAAATCGGATAGCTGAAAAATCGAAACATCGAAAAATTGGAAAATCGAAAAATCAAAATATCACGAAATCGTGGAGTCGAAAAGTCGAACAATTAAGAAACCGAAATAGGCCAAAATCGAAAAATCGAAAAGTTAAAAATTGAACAATTTATAAATTGAGAAATTTACAGTCAAAATATCGAAAAATCCAAATCCCGATAAATCGAGAAATCAAAAAACTTAAAATTTCGAAAAATTGAAAAATTGAGAGATTGAAAGATCAAAAGAACGAGAAATCGAAAAGTGATGAAGTCGAAAATTCAAAAAATTGAGAAATCGACAAACAAAAAGTTAAAAGTTGAAAAATTGGAAAAACGGAAAAATTGAAAACTGGAAAAACTGGTAAATCGAAAACCTGAACAATTAAATCTCGATAAATCGGGAATGTAAAATTAACGAATCGAAAAATTGAAAAACAGAACATCTAAAACCAGGAAGTCAAAAAATCGAAAGATTAAGAAATATTGAAAAATTAAAATATAAAAAGATTGAAAAATCTAAAATTTAAAAATCCAAAAATTGAAAAATCGAAAAAGTGAAAAGGTAGAAACATCGAAAAATCCAGAAGTCAAAAATAGAAAAGCCGAAGAATTGAAATATTGAAAAATCCTAAAACTGAAATAACTAAAAACTTAAAAATCGAAAAATCAAGAAAGTGAAGTCGAAAAATAGAAACCTTAAAAAATTGAAAAATCAAAAACCCGAAAAAATAAAAAAATTAAAGAATTGAAGAACAGGAAAATCGAAACACTCGAAGGTCAAGAAATGGGAAAATCAAAACATCGATTAATTGAAAAATCGAAAAATTGAGAGTTTATAAAAGTCGAATTTGAAAAACAGAAAAGCTAAAACCGAGAAGTCGAAAAATCAAAAGATTAAGAAATCGGAACATCTGAAAAATTCGAAAACTTTGAAAAATTGACATATCGAAGAACTGAAAATCGAAAAAATATAAAATTCAAAAATCTAAAATTTAAAAACCGAATAACGAAAAATCGAGAAAACGAAACTCACAATTTTAAAAAATCGGATAACTGAAAAATCGAAACATCGAAAAACGGGAAAATCGACATCCGAGAAATCGAAAAATCAAAAGATCACGAAATCGTGGAGTCGAAAAGTCGAACAATTAAGAAACCGAAATAGGCCAAAATCGAAAAATTGAACAATTTATAAACTGAGAAATGGACAGTCGAAAAATCCAAATCTCGATAAATCGAGAAATCAAAAAACTTAAAATTTCGAAAAATTAAAAGATTGAAAGATCAAAAGAACGAGAAATTGAAAAGTGATGAAGTCGAAAAATAGAGAAATTGACAAACAAAAAGTTAAAAGTTGAAAAATTGGAAAAACGGAAAAATCAAAAAACCAAAAAATGGAAAACTGGGAAACCGAAATAGGACAAAATAAAAAATTGAAAAACTGATAAATCGAAAACCTGAACAATTAAATCTTGATAAATCGGGAATGGAAAATTAACCAATCGAAAAATTGAAAAACCAGGAAGTCGAAAAATCGGAAGATTAAGAAATATTGAAAAATTAAAATATCAAAAGATTGAAAAATCTAAAATTTAAAAATCCAAAAATTGAAAAATCGAAATAGTAAAAAGGTAGACACATCGAAAAACCCAGAAGTCAAAAATAGAAAAGCCGAAGAATTGAAATATTGAAAAATCCTAAAACTGAAATATCTAGAAACTGATAAATCTAAAAATCAAAAAAGTGAAGTGGAAAAATAGAAACCTTAAAAAATCGAAAAATTGAAAAATCAAAAAAATTAAAGAATTGAAAAACAGGAAAATCGAAACACTCGAAGGTCAAGAAATGGGAAAATCAAAACATCGATTAATTGAAAAATCGAAAAATTGAGAGTTTATAAATGTCAAATTTGAAAAATTTAAAAATCGAAAATTTGAAAAAACGGCAATTGAAAAACAGAATCTAAACCGGGAAGTCGAAAAATCGAAACGTTTAAAAAATTGAAATATGGAAGAGCTGAAATGAAAAATCGAGAAATCGAAAAATCTAAAATTTAAAAATCGAAAAAGTAAAAAGTCGACACATCGGAAAATCTAAAAGTCAAAAATGGAAAAGTCGAAGAACAGAAATATTGAAAAATCCTAAAAGTGAAATATCGAAAAACTGAAAAATCCCAAAACTGAAATATCCAAACACTGAGAATCTAAAGAACCTAAAAATTGAGAAATCGAAAAATCAAAAAAAGGAAGTCGAAATTTCGAAACCTTAAAAAAATCGAAAAATTGAAAAATCAAAAACCTGCAAAATCGTAAGACCGAAAAATTGAATAATAAGTAAACTGAAATGTTCAAAAACTGAGAAATTAAAAAATTGAAAAATTGAGAAATCGAAAAATCAAAAAAGTGAAGTTGAAAAAATTGAAAAATTGAAAAACCAAAAAAGAAAACTGAAAACCGAGAAATTGAAAAATTGAGAAATTGTGAAATCTAAAAATTGAATAATAAATAGAACTAAAACTAAAATTTCGAAAAACTGAGAATTCGAAAGTTGAAACAGCAAGAAATTATGGTGTATCAGATCACGAATCATGGCTTATAAATCAAATCGTTTCCGAACGCTTAGAGTCGACATTGGCCTGAGTGCGCTCTGGTCTGTAGATCAAACAAGTTCTCAAACGACGAACTGTAATTCGTGTGACCCGAATTAAAGTGAAGGAAACAGTAAGCAGCTTGTAATATTCTGGGAAATCTAGTGTCAATTTGTCGAAAGTAAAACGCGTCGTTAAAAATATTATGACATTTTTTCGATTGTAGTTAATTTTATTCCTAGCTAGAAACAAACACTGTTACCAATATAAGTTGAGGAGCCCTCAACCGTCATTTAATTTAAACTATGACGCTTCTCTATGTTCTCTGATTATTGGATACAAAAGATCAATAGGATACTACTGACCGGCAGTGTCGATCATAGGGAAAAGCGATTTTTCATGTTGGCAACGCTGTCATGCGCATACCGTACAGAGACTTTAAATATGTACATATTAAAGTCTCTGATACCGTAGGAAAACATTTTTACTCCCTTTTTAACCCTTCCCGGGTTAATAATATAAATAAATGGCTCTTGCGTGAAAATAAAATATTTTGTCGGCGTTTCTTTAACATTTGTCAAATGAGGCATGCTCTCTCCTGTCATCCTACCTCCATGGGTTAATCCCCTTTTCCTCACTTTTGTAATAGTGATCTAGTAATTTTAAAATTCTCCGAGAAGTTGGAAGCTCAAAGGAATTTTAAGGTCACTGTCACTGCATTTTTTTTTTTGTAAGAATAAATTCAATAAAATAAACACATTCTTATTAAAACAAAATTTACTAATTATAATAAAAAGGGAATCTATAAGCATACTATTATCTTTCTAGTAAATATAGTATTATTATATAAAAATATGTTATACAACTTGATGTAAAAGAGATTCTATCACACAGCACCATTATCGCATTTAGTAAGAATTACAATGACATATATTCCTTACAGAGAGTAAAAAAAAACAGGTGTTGATATCACATTATTATTTATTATTTAATCGTAATTCATAAGTAACGCTAAAATTTTTAATTTGTAAAAAAATATTTTATAATTGACTCATTAATTTACTGTTAGAGTTTTAAAGTTTTACTTCGTTGATGTTTGATTATAATACATAATAATTAATTAATAATTCAACGTCCAAATGTTTGAGATTTATTTCAATATTCTTGTTAACTGTATTAAAATGTTAAAGAGTACGGCATTCACTGGAATGTATTGAACATAAATCATTTTAGCGACGAAAATTTATAAATATTTTTTATAAACGGTCTGTTTTTTGTTGTTGGCGTCACTTCTTTCCTGAAGTTTTTCCTTTTTGCGGTTGTCCAGGTTTCGGTTTGTTGAATATATAGCTCGCGCATTTAGGAATATGTCTTTCTGCGGCAGCTTCGTTGAATTTTCTACCACAGTGCGGACACTGAACGTAATCTGGATTGCTTGAAGGAGGAGGTGGAGGTAAATCCGAAAGCTTTCCTCCTTTAGCTACATGAGCCTGTGCCATTTTAGCAGCCCTGATAGCATTGATAAATTCTTCATGAGTTCTTCGCCAGTCTTTCTTAGGTGGTTGCTTGCTCGGCTGAAATATTGATTAATAAATCAAATAAAGATATTTTAAAGTGAACGCTGTTTACCTTGTTACTGACAGTTTTTCCACGTCTTACATATTGTTCTAATTCCGTGCCTTCGAGTCTGTGCTTTGTTGCGTCGTATGTTTTACGTTTTTTTTTCGCAGTTTTTCCGCATATAGATTCATGTACTTCTAAACGGTCGGCTGCAAAACGTCGATTACAATAGCGACACTCACTAAAATCGTCACGAGCAACGGGTGATTTGGCAGATTGTTTGGCTGACGGTCTTGTATTGCATGGAGCTCTGGCTGAGTTAGCTGGCTGTGGGGTTCCTTTCTTGATTGGAGGAGTCTGTAATGAAAGGATGAGTGATTAAATCAGCCACAGAACGTATGCACTTACCTTGCTTGCGGATTGCATGGTCTGAGAAACTGATCGAACAGGGGAGGAAAACTGATTTGTTGTTGTTGTTTTCGATGGCTGCGAATGAACAGAAGTACGTGGCGAGAGATTCTGAGGTGAGAGTGCAGGCTTAATGCTTCGTTTAATAATGGGCTGTAAAAAGAGATTCACACTGAAATAATTTGTGAAATATGTCAATTATTTGCCTTGTTAACAGGCTTGAGTTTAGTAAAAACTGATAGAAGGTCCTTATCGTTCAAAGTTTTTGTTATTTCCAAGAAATGGTGACTCAACATAATGTTTTTGCATTATTATTATAAACAAACGATTTTGTCGTTATTATTGGTGACACAATATTTTTTGTGTACGCAGCTAAAACAAATATGTCAATTAGTAAATAAAACGTTGCGTTGTTATGGTTTTTGAATTTTTGCGAATTTCAGGTAGGAATTACATTTCATAGTTAAAACTAGAGTTCCTAAATAATGACATTTAAATAAGAGTTACGGCCAGGACATTAGCTCTTTGGCTCTTGTGTGATATTCAATACATTTTCAGAATGTAATATCTCCATTTTTAACAGACTTATTGTTATGAAATTTTAAATACAACTTTCTCTATATAACACAAAGACAGTTAAAGAAAAAACCATTTCATCATCATTCTTTTTAAAATTTTAGTGAAATTTTTCACCACTGTTTTGTTGATTTTGTGTTCTCAGCGCAGAAGAAAGGACTGATTACTTAATTAACCGGAGATTATGCAGGGTAAAATACCCACCCTGACAAAACAGGCTTCAAATTTTACTCGTTTTGTATAACCCTCTAAAAGTTTCGATTCTTTCGTCATTTTGTCAATATAGAAAACACTGGTAGAATTAAACAAAAATTAGCACAAAACATTAAAAATTATTCGAAAGCTATCGGTGTTTTATTTTTGATACTCGATATAAATTGTTAAATTATAAAAATTGGTCTAAAGTTATTTAGACAGCACGTTCCTCGCTCTTCAAGTCCGGTATAACATAGTCAGTTTTGTCCGATAATTGTAAGATTCAATTTAGAGATTTTTTGCTGATACCGCAGTAAAGAGATCCATCTGGCGAATGACTAATTTTATGTTTCCTCGACGTTTCTCGATTTTATATCAATTTTTGGTCTCTTTATTTCCTTTATTTTTTTGTTGTTTCTTTCGATTTACAATTTTTTATTTATTCAATTTTTCAAATTTTCAGGCTTTGATTTTTCAATTCCATGATTCTCCACGTTTAAGATTTTTCAATTTGCAGTTTTTGGATTTCCAGTCTTCCCATTTTTCAATTTCTTTAATTTTCAATATTTTGATTTTACAATACATATTTCTTTTTTTTATTTTTCACTTTTTCGAATTTCAAGTTTTTCATTTTTCGATTTTTCACATTCTCAGTTTTTAATTTTTGTCATTTTCAATTTTTCGTTTCCTCAAATTTTCAAGTTCTCGAGTTTTATTTTTCATTTTCTCGATTTTATGTTATACATTTTCATTTTTTCAGTTTTTTTATTTCTTGTTGTTTCTTTCGATTTTTCAATTTTTCGAATTTTCAGTTTCTCAATTTTTCGTTTCCACTATTTTTCATGTTCCCGATTTTTATTTTTCAATGTGGCGAATTTTTAATTTTGATTTTCTCGATTTATGTCACAATTGTCCGATTTTTCATTTCCTTTATTTTCTGTGTTTTTTTTTGCGATTTTACAATTTTTCATTTGTTCAATTTTTCAAATTTTCAGGCGTTGACTTTTCAGTTCGTCCATTTTTCAATTTTTATATTTTTCACTTTGAAGTTTTTGGATTTCCAGTCTTCCGATTTTCCAATTTCTTTAATTTTCAATATTTCCATTTCATAATACATATTTCTTTTTTTTTTCACTTTTTCGATTCTTAAGATTTTTCAAGTTTTTATTTTGTAATTTTTAGTTTTTTATTTTTGATTTTCCAATTGACAATTTCCCGACTTCCAAAATGTTCAATTTTTCGTTCCTTCAATTTTTCGGTTTGCATCAGTTTTTCAATTTGGCAATTTTTCAGTATTACAGATTTTCATTTTTTGATTTTTCAGTTTCTCAATTTTTAGTTTTTCCCTTTTCCAATTTTTGTTTCCGATTTGTATTTTTCTTTTTCCCGATTTTATATCACAATTTTTCGTTTTTTCATTTCCTTTATTTTTTATTGTTTCTTTCGATTTTACAATTTTTCGTTTATTCAATTTTTAAAATTTTCAGGTTTTTTTTTAATTTTTCTTCAAATTTTCAAGTTTGATTTTCACTTTTTACGTTTTTCAAGTTTTTATTATACACTTTTTCGTTTTTTTTATTTTTGATTTTTCAGTTTTACAATTTGTCGACTTCCAAATTTTCCAATTTTTCAATATTACAATTTCTCATTTTTCCATTTTTCACATTCTCGATTTTTAATTTTTCCCTTTTTCAATTTTTCGTCCCCTCAATTTTTCAATTCCCCGATTTTCATTTTGCATTTTCCTGATTTTTTATTTTTCATTTCCTCGATTTTATGTCATAAATTTTCATTTTTTCAGTTCCTTTATTTTTTGTTGTTTCTTTCGATTTTTCAATTTTTCGTTTCCACAATTTTTCATGTTCCTGATTTTTATTTTTCAATGTGGCGAATTTTTAATTTTTATTTTCACGATTTATATCACAATTGTCCGTTTTTTCATTTCCTTTATTTTCTGTGTTTTTTTTTGCGATTTTACAATTTTTCATTTGTTCAATTTTTCAAATTTTCAGGCTTTAAATTTTCAGTTCGTCCATTTTTCAATTTTTAAACTTTTCACTTTGCAGTTTTTGGATTTTCAGTCTTCCGATTCTCCAATTTCTTTAATTTTCAATATTTCTGTTTCATAATACATATTCCTTTTTTTTCACTTTTTCGATTCTTAAGATTTTTCAAGTTTTCATTTTGTAATTTTTGGTTTTTTACTTTTGATTTTTCAATTTTACAATTACTCGACTTCCAAAATTTTCAATTTTTCGTTCCTTCAATTTTTCGGTTTGCATCAGATTTTCAATTTGGCAATTTTTAAATAGGTATTACAGTTCTACATTTTTCGATTTTTGAATTTCTCAATTTTCAATTTTTCCATTTTCCAATTTTTTTGTTTCCGATTTTTATTATTCATTTTACCGATTTTTTAATTTTCACTTTTTCAATTGTATATCACAATTTTTCGTTTTTTTATTTCCATTATTTTGTGTTGTTTCTTTTTCTTCAAATTTTCAAGTTTGATTTTCACTTTTTACATTTTTCAAGTTTTTATTATACACTTTTTCGTTTTTTTATTTTTGGTTTTTCAATTTTACAATTTGTCGACTTCCAAATTTTCCAATTTTTCAATATTACAATTTCTCATTTTTCCATTTTTCACATTCTCGATTTTTAATTTTTCCCTTTTTCAATTTTTCGTCCCCTCAATTTTTCAACTCCCCGATTTCCATTTTGCGTTTTCCTGATTTTTTATTTTTCATTTTCTCGATTTTTATCACAATTTTTTTGTTTTTTCATTTCCTTAATTTTTGTTGTTTCTTTCGACTTTCCAATTTTTCGTTTATTCAATTTTTCAAATTTTCAGGCCAATCGATTCCAATTCGTCGATTTTCCAATTTTTAAATTTTTCGTTAAACTTTCGATTTTTCAAATTTTTTTCAACTTTTCGATGTTATAATTTTTGTTTTTTAAAATGTTTCATTTTTTTATTTCTCGATTTATCGAATTCAGATGTTTGGATGTTTTGATTGATCAATTTCTCAATTTGTCGATTTTTCAGTTTTTCGGTATTTCAATTGTTCAATGTTTTAAATTTTAGATTTTTCGATTTCTGGATTTTTTGATTTTCCAGTTCTTCAGTATTTCTATTGTACATTTTTCAAATTTTGACCTTGCTAAATTTTCAGCTTTCCGATTTTTCAATTAATATATATTTTTTTATTTTCCCGTTTTTCGAATTCGCAGTTTCTATTTTTCAGTTCTTCATTTCTTTGATTTTTGGATTTTCCGGTTGGTTAATTTTTTAATTTCTCAATTTTGGATATTTGTTTTAGTTTTGGGATTTTTCAATATTTCTATTTTTCGACTTTTAGATTTTTTATTTTTTGGATTTTCATTTTTTCGTTTTTTAAACTTTAGATTTTTCAATTTTCGACTGTTTTATATATATTTCGATTTGTGAATTTTTCGAGTTTTCAGTTCTTGTATATTTTAATTTTTCTTTTTTCCGAATTTTTTATTTTTCAATTTTTCAATTTTTTGAGAACTCGATTTATCGAGATCCGGATGTTTCGATGTTTTGATTGTCTCAGTTTTTGAATTTTTCGATTTATCGGTTTTTCGTTTTTTACTTATCGGCTTTTCGATTTTTGAATTATCCGATTTTTCAATTTCCCAATTTTTAAAATTTTCAAGTTTTGACGTTTCTGAATTTTCAGTTTTCCGATTTCTCAATTAATCTGTTTTTTGATTTTCCCATTTTTCAGTTTTTCAGTTCCTCAATTTTTCGATGTTTCAGGCTCCAGATTTTTAAATTTTTCGATTTTTGGATGCCAACAGTAAAAACTCAACACGGATTCATAAACCACATATGCACAAGTATGTAATTCTATAAAATTTAACGAACATTTATTTGATAAAATTAAAATGGCATTACCAAATTTTTGGGGCGGTACAAACGAAGCAAATTTCATTAATGTTATACTATGCCTAGGATGACCTTAACACGTTTACAAGATTTTGGAGCATTCGGTTTTGCAGTTAAAGAGCAAAATGTTATACAATTTTGATTTCTCTTTCAAAAATCTGGGTATCGGGGGTAAAAACTCAGTGGAGGAGCATCTTATTTTATAAAATTTAAATAATATTTACTTCTACTACTTACTGTTTATAGCAAACGTAAATTTTTCAGCTTCTCCGCCAAATAATAGTTCTACCTGAATGTGTGATTAATTTGTGAAATGCATCAATCCGACATAACAAAAATCGGTCATTTTTTAGTGTTACATAAAGATATTACACGGGTTATTTCTATATCTATATAATTCTTTAGTTGACTTAGGTGCAAATAATAATATCACGATAATAATGGTTTAGTAGATTTAGATGTCCGTGAAAATGATTTGGTTCGACAAATCAATATCAATTAATAAAACAACAAGAACACTTCATTAAATAGGCAACAATGTCAGACCACCAGAATAACGAATAGCATATAGATCTAATTATATTTCCTCTTTAAAATATTGGTTAAACATAAAATATAACATTTTCACCGGTCGCTCAGGCCTATATGAAACTTTGCTTTAATTGTACTGGTGGTGTTCACTAAGTTGTCTTTGATGATCAAATGATTATTGTTGTCACCCACTCAAGAACTAAATAAGTAAAAATGTCATGTACTTGTATTTTGAGTAGTTTTTGAGATTATTTTCTAAAATCTGTCGTTACAATTTCTGTTTTCATAATTCCGGAAAATAAATAAACTTTTGTAGTTTAATTGACTTACCTTCGTTTCTTTCCGAAAAGTCTTTCCTAAAGAATTTGGTTTCGACTCTGTTGTATTTTGTTCAAGATTCTTCGCAACTTCACTAGGAAGCCTTCCTCCAACATTAGTTAATTTTCCGGTAAACATTGTTTCGTCTAGTTCGTCAACTTCTAATTGTGGCATTTCTTCGTTGTCTAAAGTATCATTTAAATTTTGATTATTCATCATATCGATTATATCAAATTGCGCTTTATTAAATGTTTTGTTTAAGTTGTCACATTCGTATTTGTGCTCCTCATACGTTTCATCTTCGCCATTATTGTTATAAATAGATTGAACTACTTCTTGTTTATTTACGACTGTTTTGCTATCTTTTATTCTAGAGGTTTTTTGAACATTCGATTTAACGACGGTTTTAACCGTCACATTTTTAATTCTGTCAATGCTTGCTCCTCTCATTCGTCCGACTGTTTTTGTTCCTTTTAAAGGTTCCAAAGGATAGCTCTTGTCAATTCCTGCTTTTTGTCTCCTTTCATCGAACATTTGTCTAACTTTTCCCCCTCCTGTCGAACCAACACTTGTGTTACTTCCTGCACTTCCACGATTTACTCTTTCGAAGGCTTTTTGCTGTTGGTTTTCATAAAGGCGAAGAAGTTTTTCTTCTCGTTCTTGGATTTGTTTCTGTTGAAATTTGGCCTGTAAATAATAAAAAATGTTATGTGCACGCTTTACATAAACTGCTTACATCAAGTTTAGCTTGCTGAAGTGCTTCTTGCAAGCTTTTTGCAGCCCAAGAAGTTTCAAAATCTAACGACACCACAGAGTTTAAACTAGTTGACAAGAATTTATGCATTTTGAGGAATTTTTATCACAATTATAAGAACTGAGTAAACAGTTTAGCGCACGTAAACTAACTGAATAATATCAATATGTAGTGCGTGTTATAAATCTACAAAGGCATGCGCTCCTCGGACTCTATTTAGTGGGTTAAAGGTTAAAGGGGATGATTAGGAACGAGGGTGCAAATACAAAATGTAAACTCATTCATCATCGTTCGCTATTAAAATAGTCTCGGAAATACGAGATTTCTTGAAATGATAGGGCTTAATGGATTTTTCTCACAAGTAACTAGCGAATGAGGTAATATGCTATTTATTATGTAAATCCATGACTTTACAGTGCGACAAAATTATGGTTGTGCTGTTTTAAATTTTTTGTATTAAATTACATTAAACAAAATAAATTAATATTATCATATGTTCAATGAGTCATGTCATAACAAATACAATATTCTGGAGTAAGTTTTTCTTTAGATATTTTTATATAAAGTAGTAATAGAGATTTTGAATTTTTTTAAATATGCTATGCGTGCTATGTATCTAGTTAACTAAAAGTGATTCCACAAATGGAGTATGTTACTGTTACATGAAAACCATTTACCTAATAATACTAATAGGCTAGAAAAGCATGTTAGTTTCGTCTGAGAATGAGACTGTAATTACTAATTAGAAACTCGGTCTCAAAATAATAAAAGTCGTGGAAAGCAAAGCAAATTAAAAGTGTGATTTAAAATTATTTAAGCACAATTTTCTTCGTCCCTGATGCACATTTAAACTTGTTCCATTTGTTATACATAAATGATAATGCCTGCAAATTTTACTCTTTTGTATTATATCGTCCATATTAAAAAAAAAAAGGGGTCGAAAGTTATTTCGACAAAACTTCCCTCGCTGTATGGACTAAAAACAATATAGAAGGTACTAGTCACAGTGTAATAGAAAAAAAGAACAGTTCGGAGTCCCGAGATTTAATATTAAAAAAAAAAAAAAAAAACACTTGGGGCTCCGAGAAGGTTATACATATTTAAAAAAGACAGTTGGGACCCCCGAGAAGGTTTCACTAAAAAAAAAGACATTTGGAGCTCCCGGGAAGGATTCACATTCTTAAAAAAATACATTTGGTTCCCCGGAGAAGGTTCACATTTAAAAAGATGGCATTTGGCGCCACCGAGACGGTTTCGCATTTTTAAAAAAGGCAGTTGGGACTCTCCAGAAGGTTTCACTTAAAAAAAAAGACATTTGGGGCTCACGAGAAGGTTGCACTTAAAAAAAAAAGACATTTGAGATCCTCTAGAAGGTTTCACATTCTTAAAAAAATATATTTGAGGCCCCCGAAAAGGTTCATATTTAAAAAGCAGTTATTTGGCGCCACCGAGAAGGTTTCACATTTTTAAAAAAGGCAGTTGGGACTCCCGAGAAGGTTTCACTTAAAAAAAGGACATAAGGGGCTCACGAGAAGGTTTCACTTAAAAAAAAGACATTTGGGGCTCCAGAGAAGGTTTTACATTTTTAAAACAAACAGTTGGAACCCTCGAGAAAGTTTCACATTCTTAAAAAAATACATTTGGGTCCCCGGAGAAGGTTCACATTTAAAAAGAAGGCATTTGGCGCCACCGAGGTTTCACGTTCTTAAAAAAATACATTTGGGGCCTCCGAGAAGGTTCACATTTAAAAAGAAGGCATTTGGCGCCACCGAGAAGGTGTCGCATTTTTAAAAAAGGCAGTTGGGACTCCCAAGAAGGTTTTACATTTTTAAAAAAGACAGTTGGGACCCCCGAGAAGGTTTCACATTCTTAAAAAAATACATTTGGTTCCCCGGAGAAGGTTCACATTAAAAAAAAAGGCATTTGGGACCACCGAGAAGGTTTCACATTCTTAAAAAAATACATTTGGGGCCTCCGAGAAGGTTCACATTTAAAAAGAAGGCATTTGGCGCCACCGAGAAGGTTTCGCATTTTTAAAAAAGGCAGTTGGGACTCCCGAGAAGGTTTTACATTTTTAAAAAAGACAGTTGGGACCGTCGAGAAGGTTTCACATTCTTAAAAAAATACATTTGGGTCCCCGGAGAAGGTTCACATTTAAAAATATGGCATTTGGCGCCACCGAGAAGGTTTCGCATTTTTAAAAAAGACATGGGGCTCCCGAGAAGGTTTTACATTTTTAAAAGAGACAGTTGGGACCCTCGAGAAGGTTTCACATTCTTAAAAAAATACTTTTGGGGCCCCCGAAAAGGTTCATATTTAAAAAGCAGGCATTTGGCGCCACCGAGAAGATTTCGCATTTTTAAAAAAGACAGTTGGGACTCCCGAGAAGGTTTCACTTAAAAAAAAGACATTAGGGGCTCACGAGAAGGTTTCACTTAAAAAAAAAGACATTTGGGGCTCCCGAGAAGGTTTTACATTTTTTTAACAAACAGTTGGAACCTTCGAGAAGGTTTCACATTCTTAAAAAAATTGGTCTAAAGAGTTTAGACAGTACTTCCCTCGCTGTCGGAAACTTGACGACTGCATGGCTATTGTGTTTTTTTCTCATTACATTTTTGTAGTGGGAATTTAAAAAAAATTGCGATGACGTCTTCAACATTTTTGCAAGGACACGTATATCAGTTGGGATAGATGTAGTGTAATACTAAGAATAAAATTATTGTATTCCCAAATTTTCGGGAAAATGAATTGGGTCGTTTTGAATATTGATTTTTTATAATCAATAAAATAACGAAACAATTTACTCGCGTATACGGCAACTGAAAATCGTTTATGTATAAACATTCTTAATTTAAGATGACAAGCGTAACAGCATACGTGAAAGTCAAACAGAGAAACTGTAAACAAAACGACCATCGGTTTTATTGCTTCGACTTCCGATTGTTATATAAAACATTGGGTTTTATTTTAATTCTTGACGGTGAAATTCACAATTGGTTGATTATAAACATGTCTATTTCACATTCGCGGAATCAAGTGAACGCATAAAACAAATGCAGGTCTGTAATGTTAAAGTCGATGTAAATAAGCGTGCTACCCTTATGTTTCAACCGAGTTTTTCCTTTAACAAATTTTGTGTCTACCAAATTGGGTTGGTTGGGGTGTAATACTAATAATAAGTGTTGCCTTTAATTTAATCAATAAAATAAATTGACTTCATTAATTTTTTTGAACCACCTCTTAAGAAAATCTAAAAAATATGAATGGAATGATAAATCACAAGTACAAACTCATCATATTTTTTGCATTTTGGATAGGATTTATTCAGCAAAATTTAAGGGTGACGTCATCAATTTTTTTAGGAGGGATGAACAAATACATTTTGAACAAAAGTTTACCATGCTTATAATAACATTAAAATATTCCCAAGATTTCAAAGCATTCGGTTTTGTAATTCCTGATTAAATCGATAAAATAAATTCACGCTTTCATTAATTTTTTTGAGTCACCCTGCATATGCAAATCCAAAAATATGAATGGAATGATAAATCACAAGTACAAACTCATCATATTTTGTACATTTTAGATACGATTTATTCGGCAAACTTTTGAGCTGACGTCATCAGTTTTTTGTAGAAGATAACCAAATATATTTTGACTAAAAATTTATTATGCTCTTTATAACCTTAAAACATCTGCAAGATTTCAAAGCATTCGGTTTTGTAGTTCCTGATTAAATCAATAAAATTAATTTACGCATTCATTAATTTTTTTGAGTCACCCTGTATATGCAAATCGAAAAAATTTGAATGGAATGATAAATCACAAGAAGAGACTCACCATATTTTGTACATTTTAGATAGGATTTATTCAGCAAAATTTTGTGGTGACGTCATAAATTTTTTAGGGGGGACGACCAAATACATTTTGATCAAAAATTTACCATGCTTATAATAATTTTAAAATATCTTCAAGATTTCGAAGCATTCGGTTTTGTAGTTCCTGAGTAAATCAGTAAAATAAATTTACGCTTTCATTTATTTTCTTGAATCACCCTGTATATGCAAATCCAAAAAATATGAATGGAGTGATAGATCACAAGTACAGACTGATCATATTTTGTACATTTTAGATATGATTTATTCGGCAAATTTTCGAGCTGACGTCATCAAGTTTTTGGAGGGGATAAGCAAATATATTTTGACTAAACATTTATTATGCTCTTTATAACCTTCAAACATCTGCAAGATGTCAGAGCATTCCGTTTTGTAGTTCCTGATTAAATCAATAAAATATATTTACGCATTCATTAATTTTTTTGAGTCACTCTGTATATGCAAATCCAAAAAATATGAATGGAGTGATAAATGACAAGTACAGGCTCATCATATTTTGTACATTTTAGATATGATTTATTCGGCAAACTTTCGAGCTGACGTCATCAAGTTTTTGGAGGGGATAAGCAAATATATTTTGACTAAACATTTATTATGCTCTTTATGACCTTAAAACATCTGCAAGATTTCAGGGCATTCGGTTTTGTAGTTCCTGATTAAATCAATAAAATATATTTACGCATTCATTAATTTTTTTGAGTCACCCTGTATATGCAAATCCAAAAAATATGAATGGAGTGATAGATCACAAGTACAGACTCATCATATTTTGTACATTTTAGATATGATTTATTCCACAAACTTTTGAGCTGACGTCATCAAGTTTTTGGAGGGGATAAGCAAATATTTTTTGACTAACGATTTATGATGCTCTTTATAGCCTTAAAACATTTGCAACATTTCAAAGCATTCTGGTTAGCAGATTAAAAATTAAATTTCAAAATGTTGTTTTATAATTTTGATTTTTTTTCCAAAAATCTGGACGTTTCGGGTGAAAAGTCGATTCAGAGTTGTAAACTACATGTGTAGGACTATGTTATTTTATACAATTGAAAACCCATTTACTATGTACAATTTTGAAGTGACGTCATCGCATTAGTGGTGGGGATGATTAGACAAATTTTGGTTAGCGTTTTACCATCTACATGATATTCTTAATATAAGTACAAAATTTCACAACAATCGGTCGAGTACTTTCGGAGATTATCTGTCTAATAAAAATCCGGGACGGCAGACGGACAGACGGACAGACGGACAGACGGACGGACAGACGGACGGACAGACGGACGGACAGACGGACAGACAGACGGAAATGGGAGACCTATTTCTTCGTCTTCTAGGGGTCATGAAAGATCGAGAAAACGTAAAAGTAGAGAGTCGGCCGACGGACTCGATTACAATACTTCCTTTGCTTACGCTCGGGAAGTAAAAAAGACATTTGGGACCCTCTAGAAGGTTTCACATTCTTAAAAAAATACATTTGAGGCCCCGAAAAGGTTCATATTTAAAAAGCAGGCATTTGGCGCCACCGAGAAGGTTTCACATTTTTAAAAAAGGCAGTTGGGACCCCCGAGAAGGTTTCACTTAAAAAAAAGACATTTGGAGCTCCCGAGAAGGTTTCACATTCTTAAAAAAATACATTTGAGGCCTCCGAGAAGGTTCACATTTAAAAAGAAAGCATTTGGCGCCACCGAAAAGGTTTCACATTTTTAAAAAAGGCAGTTGGGACTCCCGAGAAGGTTTTACATAAAAAAAAGACATTTGGGGCTCACGAGAAGGTTGCACTTAAAAAAAAGTCATTTGGGACCCTCTAGAAGGTTTCACATTCTTAAAAAAATACATTTGAGGCCCCCGAAAAGGTTCATATTTAAAAAGCAGGCATTTGGCGCCACCGAGAAGGTTTCACATTTTTAAAAAAGGCAGTTGGGACTCCCGAGAAGGTTCACATTTTTAAAAAGACAGTTGGGACCCCCGAGAAGGTTTCACTTAGAAAAAGACATTTGGAGCTCCCGAGAAGGTTTCACATTCTTAAAAAAATACATTTGGGGCCTCCGAGAAGGTTCACATTTATAAAGAAGGCATTTGGCGCCACCGAGAAGGTTTCGCATTTTTAAAAAAGGCAGTTGGGACTCCCGAGAAGGTTTCACTTAAAAAAAAAGACATTAGGGGCTCACGAGAAGGTTTCACTTAAAAAAAAAAGCCATTGGGGCTCACGAGGTTTCACATTTTTAAAAAGACAGCTGGGACCCCCGAGAAGGTTTCACTTAAAAAAAGACATTTGGAGCTCCCGAGGTTTCACATTCTTAAAAAAATACATTTGGGGCCTCCGAGAAGGTTCATATTTAAAAAGCAGGCATTTGGCGCCACCGAGAAGGTTTCACATTTTTAAAAAAGGCAGTTCGGACTCCCGAGAAGGTTTCACTTAAAAAAAAGACATTTGGAGCTCCCGAGAAGGTTTCACTTAAAAAAAAAGACATTTGGGGCTCCCGAGAAGGTTTCACATTTTTAAAAAATACAGTTGGGACCCCCGAGAAGGTTTCACATTCTTAAAAAAATACATTTGGTTCCCCAGAGAAGGTTCACATTTAAAAAGAAGGCATTTGGCGCCACCGAGAAAGTTTCGCATTTTTTAAAAAGACATTTGGGGTCTCCGAGAAGGTTCACATTTAAAAAGAAGGCATTTGACGCCACCGAGGTTTCACACTCTTAAAAAAATACATTTGGGGTCTCCGAGAAGGTTCACATTTAAAAAGAAGGCATTTGGCGCCACAGAGAAGGTTTCGCATTTTTAAAAAAGGCAGTTGGGACTCCCGAAAAGGTTTCACTTAAAAAAAAGACATTTGGGGCTCACGAGAAGATTGCACTAAGAAAAAAGACATTTGGGACCCTCTAGAAGGTTTCACATTCTTAAAAAAATACATGTGAGGCCCCCGAAAAGGTTGATATTTAAAAAGCAGGCATTTGGCGCCACCGAGAAGGTTTCACATTTTTAAAAAAGGCAGTTGGGACTCCCTAGGTTTCACTTAAAAAAAAGACATTAGGGGCTCACGAGACGGTTTCACTTAAAAAAAGACATTTGGGGCTTCCGAGAAGGTTTTACATTTTTAAAACAAACAGTTGGGACCCTCGAGAAGGTTTCACATTCTTAAAAAAAATACATTTGGGTCCCCGAGAAGGTTCACATTTAAAAAGAAGGCATTTAGCGCCACCGAGAAGGTTTCGCATTTTTAAAAACAGTTGGGACTCCCGAGAAAGTTTCACTTAAAAAAAAGAATATCCTCGATAAGAAAAACAACTTCAAAGTGTTTATGTTTATACATCGGGAGGATGTCACGTAGAAATTAGTTTGGTTTGAATACGTTCGACTCCTCAAAACAGAGGAACAAAACAATTAACTAGTAAGCTACAATCGACAAAATGTTCTGAATATCATTATTATAATTCTTATGAAATAAACACGTTTGTATTTTCACATTTTCGAGAAAATGGGATGACTCGTTCTTAATTTATACATATTTTGCACATTTTGGATGGAATTTATTCCGCAAAATTTTGAGATAACGTCATCAATGTTTTGGGGGAAATAAACAGATTTATTTGTATTAACAGTTTACCATGCTCATTAATTTTTTTCATACACTCCGTATAAACAAATCTAAAAAGTATTAATGTAGTGATAACATTTAAGATAGCATTTTATCAGCAAAATTTTGGGGTGGCGTCATCAATTTTTTAGGGGGGGATGAGCAAATACATTTTGATCAAAAATTTACCATGCTTATGATAAATTTAAAACATCTAAATTGGAACAATTTTTAAAACATACATCGGTTCAGATTATATCTAATTCTGTTCTAATTCACGGATATTGCTCTGGTAAAAGCCTTGTTACAAAATGTTTTTTTCTAATCCTGATTTAATTCCGTAAATTTTAAATTTTCCTTATTTGTGTAGATTTGTTAAATGGCATCAGTAATCTTGTGCTAGAGATATGTATTATGCAATAATACTATAAAAGGAAGATTCGCGGTGTGAGACCGATGAGTCATAAACCGTGGGTGCCGACCGCCTGTTAACGCCTGATCAACCAACCTCAACAAAGGAGTCTTGCTTGGCGATGTGAATCAACCGACTTCCCAATGTCAACTTTCACTTGATCTGCGTAGACGGATAAATCTGCACCGCTTTATCTGTTAGGTTAATGATTTGTAATTAAAAAAGTAGCTAATTAGTGTTATGACTAAATTTCTTGAAAAAATTAGTCACTCGCTCCTTCGTCGCTCGTGACTAAACTCCTCTCGCGCGACTTACGCATACTAATTACTATAATACAGCTTAATCAGCATGTACTGTATTTGAGTTGGAAACAGAATTAACCAATTCTGAGAGAATTTTCTTGCCTTGCTATTGCCAAACTTGACTGAAATGTCTGGCGCTGTATCATTTTTAAGCGCTCACGAAGTTTGGTTATAACATTTTTATAATAAATCCAGATTTCTTTTCATGGGGCTATCTCAAAGACAAAGTTTACAAACAAGAACCAGCAGCACGTGACAATATGTTTGAGCGAATCGGAAATGCTTGTGCAGAAATTTAAGCAAACAAATTCCTCACTGTACACTCTCATGTAAATTAAGCACCATGATAACTGAGAGACGATGAGGTGAAGAGACTCACATAAATCAAGCAGCTTGATAGGTGAGAGGCGAGGGAACCTAAATCAGGCATCCTGATACGTGATACATTTTACCATCTTAAAAACAAGTATCACTGGATTAGAGACCACTGGGCTGTTTTAAGCCAGTCTGTGGATGTAATAGAGCAATTATTATATAAACAATTGGAAGATACCCCGAGGAAACTAGGTGAAATGGCATGAAGATACTTAAAAAAAAACGTGTACCATTGAAATTTGTGTGATGTTAAGAAATCCTTCTCTAGGAATAAAAATGTTCTAACAGACAAGAACGAAAAATTTTTCTGTCGAAAATTTAAAAAAATATCTAATCGCTAATTATTGTTTGTTACAGTTTGAGCTTGTATCAATAACGACTCTGAACATGTAACTGTTACAAAAGCTCCAAATGCGAGGTTGCGTTTTCATGTTCTTCACCAGATAATTAAAGAACCTTGCTCTGCTAATAACAGGGCTAACTCTCATGTGTTCCGTTATTGAAAATAAAAACGATTCATTATATTGATCCTTGACAGATATCTTGAACTCGTTAGTTAATAATTCTCATACATTTTTTAGATGTAAGGTATAAGAAAATTTACGTTTTTATTCACAGAATTAGGTTGTATGCATCTTTAAAAACGTACTGAGACATCCACCTGACAGCAACTAATAATGCATTTGTATATATTGCCACATACACGACAGTGAAAACTTCATTATGCATATCTAGGTCGTACTTATTCTGCACATCGATTTCCAATAAAACCGGGCCTATATGTCACTGGATCAAACAGGTGTTATCATTGCACAAATCAATTGTGATGTACTTACGTAGTGGTTACTATTCTTTAAGCTATTTTTTTTTTTGTAAATACATATAGTTTAATTTTATTCTGCTAATGTAATTTTCATGGATGCATCATAATTTAAAACATCATATGGAAAGCATGTTACTGAAGAATCTGAAGATTGAATAAAGTTCATTTATCCATTTCAAGGTTTTCAGTGGGTTTTTGGCCTTTTCTAAACCCACACAAAGACAAATGCAGACAAACATGTTTGCGAAGGATTTCATTTTCTTGTTTTAGTTTTAAACCTACTTAATTTAAGTAAATCCCACTCACCTGCATTTCAGCTAGTCTTGAAGTCATTTTGGATCACTTTGTGTCAAATTTCTGTGTTATGGTAGCAGTGGTAAATTTTCAGTATTGCATTTTTCGTTATCTGAAACACAATGAAAACTAATGCATTTGTGTTTATTTAACGAAAAATATTACAAAATACGTGAATAATAATAATTACATGCAGGAAAAAATTAATTATATTAGGAAAGTACAATAAGCATGACCCACAACAAAAATTTAATAATAATGTAAACAGGTACACTTTTGGGCAAGCTTATTCGGAGTATTAGATGGGTGTGTGTTTGGGGTAAATGAAATGACGATGTCACCCAAAGACACGAAAAATGGATCTCTCGTGCACTGCAGGTTGCCGCACAATATAGATAATGTTTTGTAAGGTAGCTAATTATTACCGTTAATTTGTTGTCACTTCATTAATTACTTTAACACTAGGTTTAACCCTTGAACTTGGCAAAATATTGTTTGTTATTTTTACAAGGGTTTTAAAATGTCAATATACATAATTTTGAAAATTGCAGATTCTTATCGGTGCAGAAACTCAATGTGACGTACTAATAAATGTAGTTACATTTTCTTTAAATATTAATACAAGTTTATTAGTCAAACAATAAATCATAATAAAACTTACTCCATTTCATACCAAACCAACTGAAATATAAAAAAATAACTTACATCAAATATTCCACCGCTGAAATTCTCAATATTTGCAAGAACTAAACGAGTAAACGTTGTCGACTGCAGACCGGCAACAAACCTTATAACTGAAAACTGTTTGTAACTGTTTATTCTGCGCGGCAGGTTGAGGTTAACTACTGCTGCCTGCTTGCCTGCTGCCTTGCTTTCAGCTGTGGGCAATGCGTCGAACGGTGCAGCAGGAGAGTGGCGGGTTGCTACCTGCATTTTCAGCTACATATTATTTATTTTGGCTAAATACAAGTACATAACAATCATGTTTTAATTAATGTGTGGTTAATGATAAATAACCTAGTGTCAAACAAAGTAATCCTTTAATTTACTTGTCGTTTTCATCCTCGTTTGTGTACCGGAAAACAGTCTGACGTGGTACATTTTGTTGCTCACGACGTCTATGGTGCAGTACTTGGAAGAGAATCGTTGTAAAGTAAACATGTTACGAAATATTGTCGAATGGTATCTAAGATAAAATAAAAAAAATTGGGCGAAAGTTGTTTCAACAGAACTTCTCTCGCACCTAAAGCACAATGAAAGTACAGTAGATCCTCGATAATCCGAATTAATTGGTAAATTTTGTGTTTTTCCGAAATCGTTGAAATATCGAGATTTTTATAAATTTTCAAAAATTCGCATTTCGTACCGATTCTCTCGAAAATGTTGCGCCGTGACCATCAACATGCTATATTTTTAGAATCAGCATGTCGAGATCTACGTTCCTGAATTTCTTTAAAATTTTTAGACAACTTTTTTAAAAGTAAAATTTTTCCTTCTTCAAATTTTTGCAAATTGTTGACATATTCGAAACTTAACTAAATACATTTTCTTGCAGATTTCGAGCTCTAGAATTCAATTCCGGCCTCGTGTCTTTGACAACTGCAATCGTTTTTCCGGAATCGACCGTTGAAATATCGAAATTTTTAGAAATTTTCAAAAATTCGCATTTCGTACCGATTCTTTCGAAAATGTTGCTCCGTGACCACGAACATGCTATATTTTTGGAATCAGCATGTCCAGATCTGCGTCCATGAATTTTTTTAAAATTTTTAAACAACTTTTTTTAAAAGTGAAATTTTTCCAATGGTCCCCCCTTCTTCAATTTTTGTAAATTTTTGACATTTTCAAAACTTAATTAAACACATTTTCTTGTTGATTTCGAGCTCTAGAATTCGATTCCGGCCTCGTGTCTTTGACAACTGCAATCGTTTTTCCGGAATCGACCATTGAAATATCGAAATTTTTAGAAATTTTCAAAAATTCGCATTTCGTACCGATTCTTTCCAAAATGTTGCCCCGCGACCATCAACAAGCTATATTTTTGGAAGCAGCATGTCGAGATCTACGTCCCTGAATTTTTTCAACATTTTTAGACAACTTTTTCAAAAGTGAAATTTTTCCAATGGTCCCCCTTCTTCAAATTTTTGTAAATTTTTGACATTTTCGAAACTTAATTAAACACATTTTCTTGTTGATTTAGAGCTCTAGAATTCGATTCCGGCCGCGTGTCTTTGATAACTGCAATCGTTTTTCCGGAATCGACCGCTGAAATATCGAAATTTTTAGAAATTTTCAAAAATTCGCATTTCGTACCGATTTTTTCGAAAATGTTGCCCCGCGACCATCAACAAGCTATATTTTTGGAATCAGCATGTCGAGATCTACGTTCCTGAATTTTTTCAACATTTTTAGACAACTTTTTCAAAAGTGAAATTTTTCCAATGGTCCCCCCTTCTTCAAATTTTTGTAAATTTTTGACATTTTCGAAACTTAATCAAACACATTTTCTTGTAGATTTCGAGCTCTAGAATTCGATTCCGGCCTCGTGTCTTTGATAACTGCAATCGTTTTTCCGGAATCGACCGTTGAAATATCGAAATTTTTAGAAATTTTCAAAAATTCGCATTTCGTACCGATTTTTTCGAAAATGTTGCTCCGTGACCATCAACATGCTATATTTTTGGAATCAGCATGTTGAAATCTACGTCCATTAATTTTTTCAGAAATTTTAGACAACTTTTTTAAAAGTGAAATTTTTCCAATGGTCCCCGGGTTCTTCAAATTTTTGTAAATTTTTTACATTTTCGAAACTTAATTAAACACATTTTCTTGTAGATTTCGAGCTCTAGAATTCGATTCCGGCCTCGTGTCTTTGATAACTGCAATCGTTTTCCCGGAATCGACCGTTGAAATATCGAAATTTTTAGAAATTTTCAAAAATTCGCATTTCGTACCGATTCTTTCCAAAATGTTGCCCCGCGACCATCAACAAGCTATATTTTTGGAAGCAGCATGTCGAGATCTACGTCCCTGAATTTTTTCAACATTTTTAGACAACTTTTTCAAAAGTGAAATTTTTCCAATGGTCCCCCCTTCTTCAAATTTTTGTAAATTTTTGACATTTTCGAAACTTAATTAAACACATTTTCTTGTAGATTTCGAGCTCTAGAATTCAATTCCGGCCTCGTGTCTTTGATAACTGCAATCGTTTTTCCGGAATCGACCGTTGAAATATCGAAATTTTTAGAAATTTTCAAAAATTCGCATTTCGTACCGATTCTTTCGAAAATGTTGCTCCGTGACCATCAACATGCTATATTTTTGGAATCAGCATGTCGAGATCTACGTTCCTGAATTTTTTCAACATTTTTAGACAACTTTTTCAAAAGTGAAATTTTTCCAATGGTCCCCCCTCCTTCAAATTTTTGTAAATTTTTGACATTTTCGAAACATAATTAAACACATTTTCTTGTAGATTTCGAGCTCTAGAATTCGATTCCGGCCTCGTGTCTTTGACAACTGCAATCGTTTTTCCGGAATCGACCGTTGAAATATCGAAATTTTTAGAAATTTTCAAAAATTCGCATTTCGTACCGATTCTTTCCAAAATGTTGCCCCGCGACCATCAACAAGCTATATTTTTGGAATCAGCATGCCGAGATCTACGTCCCTGAATTTTTTCAACATTTTTAGACAACTTTTTCAAAAGTGAAATTTTTCCAATGGTCCCCCCTTCTTCAAATTTTGTAAATTTTTGACATTTTCGAAACTTAATTAAACACATTTTCTTGTTGATGTCGAGCTCTAGAATTCGATTCCGGCCTCGTGTCTTTGACAACTGCAATCGTTTTTCCGGAATCGACCGTTGAAATATCGAAATTTTTAGAAATTTTCAAAAATTCGCATTTCGTACCGATTCTTTCCAAAATGTTGCCCCGCGACCATCAACAAGCTATATTTTTGGAATCAGCATGTCGAGATCTACGTCCCTGAATTTTTTCAACATTTTTAGACAACTTTTTCAAAAGTGAAATTTTTCCAATGGTCCCCCCTTCTTCAAATTTTTGTAAATTTTTGACATTTTCGAAACTTACTTAAACACATTTTCTTGTAGATGTCGAGCTCTAGAATTCGATTCCGGCCTCGTGTCTTTGATAACTGCAATCGTTTTTCCGGAATCGACCGTTGAAATATCGAAATTTTTAGAAATTTTCAAAAATTCGCATTTCGTACCGATTCTTTCGAAAATGTTGCTCCGTGACCATCAACATGCTATATTTTTGGAATCAGCATGTCGAGATCTACGTCCATGAATTTTTTCAGAATTTTTAAACAACGTTTTTTAAAAGTGAAATTTTTCCAATGGTCTCCCCCCTTCTTCAAATTTTTGTAAATTTTTGACATTTTCGAAACTTAATTAAACACATTTTCTTGTAGATTTCGAGCTCTAGAATTCGATTCCGGCCTCGTGTCTTTGATAACTGCAATCGTTTTTCCGGAATCGACCGTTGAAATATCGAAATTTTTATAAATTTTCAAAAATTCGCATTTCGAACCGATTCTTTCGAAAATGTTGCCCCGCGACCGTCAACAAGCTATATTTTTGGAATCAGCATGTCGAGATCTACGTCCCTGAATTTTTTCAACATTTTTAGACAACTTTTTCAAAAGTGAAAATTTTCCGATGGTCCCCCCTTCTTCAAATTTTTGTAATTATTGACATTTTCGAAACTTAACTAAACACATTTTCTTGTAGATTTCGAGCTCTAGAACTCAATTCCGGCTTCGTGTCTTTGACAACTGCAATCGTTTTTCCGGAATCGACCGTTGAAATATCGAAATTTTTAGAAATTTTCAAAAATTCGCATTTCGTACCGATTCTTTCCAAAATGTTGCCCCGCGACCATCAACAAGCTATACTTTTGGAATCAGCATGTCGAGATCTACGTCCCTGAATTTTTCAACATTTTTAGACAACTTTTTCAAAAGTGAAATTTTTCCAATGGTCCCCCCTTCTTCAAATTTTTGTAAATTTTTGACATTTTCGAAACTTAATTAAACACATTTTCTTGTAGATTTCGAGCTCTAGAATTCAATTCCGGCCTCGTGTCTTTGATAACTGCAATCGTTTTTCCGGAATCGACCGTTGAAATATCGAAATTTTTAGAAATTTTCAAAAATTCGCATTTCGGACCGATTCTTTCGAAAATGTTGCTCCGTGACCATCAACATGCTATATTTTTGGAATCAGCATGTCGAGATCTACGTCCATGAATTTTTTTAAAATTTTTAGACAACTTTTTTAAAAGTGAAATTTTTCCAATGGTCCCCCCCCTTCAAATTTTTGTAAATTTTTGACATTTTGAAACTTAACTAAACACATTTTCTTGTAGATTTCGAGCTCTAGAATTCGATTCCGGCCTCGTGTCTTTGATAACTGCAATCGTTTTTCTGGAATCGACCATTGAAATATCGAAATTTTTAGAAATTTTCAAAAATTCGCATTTCGTACCGATTTTTTCGAAAATGTTGCTCCGCGACCATCCACATGCTATATTTTTAGAATCAGCGTGTCGAGATCTGCGTCCCTGAATTTTTTCAGAAATTTTAGAAAACTTTTTTAAAAGTGAATTTTTCCAATGCCCCCCCCCCCGCTTCTTCAAATTTTTGACATTTTTTTTTTAATTTACCGCGATAGAGCGAAATTCTACCATGAAATTTTAGCTAATGTGTCCCTACCTTTAGTTACTCCTTCAGGTCTCATCGTTGTTCGGCAGCCTATATACCTTTCCAGTGACGTCTCGGCAGGCTGCAAAACTGTCAGCTGTGCTTGGCATTGCAAGTCGTAGCTTTAGCTATTTCCATTCAGTCTTCAGTGTATACTTACTTGTTTTCTCGAGAAAGTTTTTTTTTGCGTTCACAACAATTATTATTTGTGTTAATTCAAGCAGATCCACTGGATCGTGGCGTGTCATATGTTGTGAATGGCTTCAACACTGGTCGACAGTTAATTTAATTGAATTTTATTTTATTGTATATGTACACAAATGTGTATTTTGTTCTGTTTGCCAATAAAGTTATTACTATTACATCATGCGGGTACAATGCGATGCATTTATCTGGGCGACTCAAGGTATGTTTTGCGACTAAGATTAGTTCTCGTACACAGTATAAATCAGCGACAAGTTTTTGCCAAATGAAGAATACTTAAATAAAGGAAGGAAGCATCAATAGCTATTAAAATACCAAACACAATCAACATGTCTTATTGTCCAGAGATTTACCAATATTAATCCAACAAAAATAAGAATGAACAAAATACGACCAACCACCACGCCATCAGCCTTCATGTACATGTAAAGAATTTATTTGGAATTTTACTTTACCACTATTATCTGAAAAAGGAATGACTTCTTCGCACATAATTTTAATGAGGCAGAAAGTAAAAATAGAACACATACATACATTAATATCATCTCTATTTTCACAATAGTCTAATATATATACAAACAGTCTTAACTTAATGGTACCCATGTAAATATTTAAAATGGTATGCAAGGTCCAATACTCCAAACGAAAAAATCAAATTTTGAGGCATTCTCCGTTTTTATAAATAAATTCGAAATTAAAAAAATACAAAATAAAAATAATGCAATGCTCTTTAACACTACTTCGCTGACAATGTATTAAAATATACAATTATGCAAACGGGATGTTAACAGCTATAATGGTGACACCATTACAGGCAAAACGAAAAAAAGAGGATTATAGTAACCCACTATTATCAGTTAAATAAAGTTGACAACCCACATATGCAGTGTAATACAGCTAAATGAAACATAATTACGTTCCTGTATTGTAAATTGTATTACATACAAATCTGAACTTTAAGCAATAATCAGACGACGGAAACTCCAGGAAGCCAGCCACTGTAACTAAGATAGTGCGTAACAACATCTTTAACGCTAACGTCTGAAGAGTTTATGTCTATTTCCAAAGTTCGATGCCTATTTGGTGACAACAAATTTTCCTGTAAACACAAAATATAATTAAAACAAAATAAAATGTATCAAAGAATTACCTGAATTATAAGCGATTTCAGTGTTGTATACTGGACGGGTTGCAAATTTAATGACTTGCAGAGCTACAAACCAAACCTAAATATTCGAAGTCATATTTAAACTTTACGTACTTGTATTTCATGTTGTGATAACAACGAACCCAACGGTAAGGCATTTGGTGATGGAGGGCTGATTTTATCCGAGTTCGAGTTGTAACTGCTGCAACTGTTGTTGTCTTGCTCTTCTGACAGCGGCCACGTGAATCTTTTTTCTGATAAATTTTGGTTTTCTTCGCTTTTTCTAAAAGGTTTTTTTTTCAATTTGTTAAATCACAATTCAGCTACAGTTCATTTCTGTTACGAGCATAGAATTCGGAAAACTTCATTTGCTTGCACAGACCTTCATTTAATCAATTATGTAATCCCATTAATGTGCACAATAAATACTCATTTATCATTTTGTTTCACAAGCCCTCTTCGTATTAGAAAAATCTAAATGAACATACTGCACAAAATATCTGAAAGAGCTAACGCAAATTTGTTTAGGTTGGAATAATGGACAGAAGATTAATTGGCCCCTACTTTGGAAAGTTAGAATTTGAAGAAACGCTAAAATAAATGTGCTGGTAATGAAAAAAGTAGGTATACACATAAATCATGGGCGAGATTTTCGGCCCCTTGCTTTGTAATAATAATAATAATTTTATTTCTTACGACAGTGTTTACAAACAAAAGTTACAACAAAGATAAGAAAACGTCAAATACAAAAGCAATACAAATATACAATACTTACAGTAACATGAACAGGAAAAACCTAGATCACCTTATGTTGCCATAAAATCGTTCAGGTTGTATGGTTCAAGATTTAATAGCAATGTAAATAATTTTCTTTTGAAAATTTAGTAATATTGTTTGTTGGAGATCATTCGGAAGATGGTTAAATACTTTAATTGCTGCATAAAAAGCATTATTTTCGTTTACATTTAGTCTGTGCCAAGATGTTACAGGATGAAGCTGTGTGTAATTCTTGGTTTTAATTACTTGGTCTTGAATAACAAACAAACACCCTTCTGTTTCGCCATACAAACCAATCGAGGACATTTTCTTGTTGATGTGGGTTTCGTCTAGGTCTTTGAAGAATTTTCCGTGCAGCTGTTTTTGTTTTCGCCCATTTATTGTTGTCTAATTTGTTATGGTACAGAATTTTATTTTTTTAACTAAATTTAAAAAATTCTGGTATTTACATTGTCGAAGCTTTTATTAACACATTTTACGGAATACATACATTTGCTAGTAGAAGTACCCACTTATGCCCATTGCTTATCTAAGCAATTCTTAAAAGCAACAACTACTTCTTAAATTGTACAGTTGTTGTACCGTCATAGCTTAGACTCTACTTAACCACGTAATACTTAGTTGGGGAATTCTACAAAAGTTTCATTTCTATTGGCAACACTGTCGTTTGTTTGTATTGGAATATCAAATACTGTTGTTTAGTTTGTATGTGTGTAGTTGATATTAATGTCTGTGGTGTTGATTGTGTGTTTATTAAAAAATCGGCTTATAAAATGGTCAATTACCATTAATTTTTTCTTAAATTTATAATTTTAACAAATAGATGCCATATTACTATTTAATTTGATGTTTTATTACATTTCCATGTTATTACGTTAAAGTTTATTTAGTTGCTCGTTTTTTATTTCAATGTCTAACTCTAAAATTTGCTCTCGTAGCAAAAATTCCACGTTTTTTTCTTTCTTTCTCTTGTTCTTGTTTTGTCAGTTGTACCTCAACTAGCTGTAGTTTCTTGCTCCCCTCTGACGTTTTTTGTTATTCATCTGAAAAAAAATAAAAACATGTTATTCTTTACAACAAATCGTTACAACTGTGGTACGTACCTTCTTTATATTAAATTTTATCGCGTTAGGACTTTATTTTACACTTGAAATACACTTTTGAGCAAATTCGAAACTTTCTATTTCGTCTAATCACCAAAATTATTTTCCAAAAAAACAAAGTGTTGTGTTGTATCGTTGAGCATTGCTTATAAATTTAAGCCTTAGGTAAACGGGCATTTAAATTAAGAATTTCATTGAACCCTTCAAAAAAAAGTTAAACGTTTGTGCAATACATTGTTAGTTTTAAGAAATGTTTACTAGGTACCTTATTTATGCCCTTTTGCATTGACGTTTTTTTAAAGGATTCTATGAAATCCTTACTTTAAGTGCCCGTTTACATGAGGCTTAAATTTATTAGCAATGCTTAAAAGAGACATAACGATACAACGCATGCGCGGTAGCCATGGTAACAACACAATACTGTGTTTTGGTTGCATAACAATTTTGGTGTTACACCAGCATTAGTGCTCAAAAGTAAATAAAGTCTTAACAAGATAAAAGTCAACATAAAGAAGGTATGTCTCTCAATTATAACGATTTGTTGTGAAGAATAACATGTCTTTTTTTTAGATGAATAACAAAAAGTGTCAGAGGGGAGCAACACAGTACAGTTAGTTGAGGCACAACTGGCAGTTCAAGAACAAGAGAAAAAAAAAAAAAAATATAGAATTTTTACTACGAAAGTAAATTTTACAGTAAGACATTGAAATAAAAAAGGAGCAGCTAAATAAACTTAACGTAATAGCATGGAAATGTAATAAACTATCAAATTAAATGGTAATATGGCATCTATTTGTTAAAATTATAAATTTCCAAAAAAAGTTACAAATACTGAGCTCTGGTAATTATAATCAACCATTTTATAAGCCCATTTTTTATTAAACACACAATCAACACTATCGCAACTACACACGTACACTAAACTAAAATATTTGATATTCCAATAAAAACAAACGTCAGTGTTGCCAATAGAAATGAATTTTTATAGATTTCCCCAACTAAGTATTACTTGGTTAAATACAGCTTACCGCTAACGTTCATGTAAACGGGCATCACAATCTCAGTTAACACTTTGACTGAAATTTTATGTAAATGGTTAGCAGTATATTTTTACCAGAGAACATAGAGAAGCGTCATAGTTTAAATTAAATGACGGTTGAGGACTCCTCGACTTATGTTGGCAACAGTGTTTGTTTCTAACTAGGAATAAAATTAAGTAGAAAAAATGTCATAATATTTTTAACGACGCGTTTTACTTTCGACCAATTGACACTAGATTTACCAGAATATTACAAGCTGCTTACTGTTTCCTTCGCTTTAATGCAGGTCACACGAATTACAGTTCGTCGTTTGAGAACTTGTTTGATCTACAGACCAGAGCGCATTCACGCCAATGTCGACTCTAAGCGTTCGGAAACGATTTGATTTATAAGTCATGATCCGTGATCTGATACACCATAACTTTTTGCTGTTTCAACTTTCGAATTCTCAGTTTTTCGAAATTTTAGTTTGGGGACTTTTCAGTTTATTATTTATTATTCGATTTTTGGATTTTACAATTTCTCAATTTTTCAATTTCTGGGTTTTCAGTTTTTCTCTTCAATTTTACGATTTTTAAATATTTCGATTTTTCAATTTTTGACTTTCATAAACTTTTTAATTGTCGATTTTTTGATTCATTGATTTTTCAGGTTTTTTGGTTTTTCAATTTTTCGATTTTTTCAGGTTTCGATTTTTCAACTTCACTTTTTTGATTTTTCGATTTCTCAATTTTTTATTTTTTTAATTTCTCAGTTTTGGACATTTCAGTTTTAGGGTTTTTCAGTTCACTTATTATGCAATTTTTCGATCTTACAATTTTGCAGGCTTTTGATTTTTCAATTTTTCGATTTTTTTAAGGTTTCGATATTTCGTCTTCACCTTTTTGATTTTTCGATTCTTTAGATTCTCAGTTTTTGGATATTTCAGTTTTGGGATTTTTCAATATTTCGTTTCTTTGACTTTTCGATTTTCGACTCCTGGATTTTTCGATGTGTCGATTTTTATGCTTTTTTAATTTTTCGATTGCTTAATCTTTCGATTTTTCGACTTCCCGGTTTTAGATTTTCTGTTTTCAATTGTCGTTTTAAATTTTTCGATTTTTCCATGTTTTGATTTCCCGATTTAGTTTCCCATTTTTAGTTTTTCTTCTATTTTTCAGTTTTTCGATATTTCAGTTTTGGGGTTTTTCAATATTTCGATTCTTTGACTTTTCGATTTTTGACTCCTGGATTTTTCGATGTGTCGATTTTTTTACTTGTTCGATTTTTCAATTTTTAGATTTTTAAATTTTTGATTTTTTATTTTTAAAATTTTAGATTTTTCGATTTCTCGAATTTTTCAGATGTTTCGATTTCTTAATCTTTTGATTTTTCGACTTTCCCGTTTTAGATTTTCTGTTTTGCAATTGTCATTTTGTCAAATTTTCGATTTTTTAGTTAATCGATGTTCTGATTTTCCCATTTCTTCGAGTGTTTTCATTTTCCTGTTCGTCAAATCTTTAAATTTTTGCTTTTGCAGGCTTTTGATTATTCAATTTTTCGATTTTTTAAGGTTTCTATTTTCGACTTCAGTTTTTTGATTTTTAGATTTTTTAGTTTTTAGATATTTCAGTTGTAGGAATTTTCAATATTTCAATTCTTCGGCTTTTCTATTTTTGACTTCTGGATTTTTTGATGTGTCTACCTTTTTACTTTTTGGATTTTTCAATTTTTGGATTTTTAAATTTTAGATTTTTCAATCTTTTGATATTTTAATTTTTCAATATTTCTTAATCTTTCAATTTTTCTACCTCCTGGTTTTAGATGTTGTTTTTCAATTTTTCGATTTGTTAATTTTTCATTCCCGATTTATCGAGATTTGATTGTCCAGGTTTTCTATTTATTAGTTTTTCAATTTTTTATTTTGGCCTATTTCGCTTTCTCAGTTTTTCCGGTTTTCCATTTTTCGTTTTTTGATTTTTCCACTTTTCCAATTTTTCAACTTTTAACTTTTTTGTTTGTCGATTTCTTTATTTTTCGAATTTTCAACTTCATCACTTTTCGATTTCTCGTTCTTTTGATCTTTCAATCTCTCAATTTTTCTATTTTTCGAAATTTTTTTGATTTTTCAATTTATCGAGATTTGGATTTTTCGATATTTTGACTGTCAATTTCTCAATTTATAAATTGTTCAATTTTTAAGTTTTCGATTTTTCGATTTTGGCTTATTTCGGTTTCTTAATTGTTCTACTTTTCGACTCCACGATTTCGTGATCTTTCGATTTTTCAGTTATCCGATTTTTTAAATTTGGAAGTTTCGTTTTCTCGATTTTTCGTTATTCGGTTTTTAAATTTTAGATTTTTGAATTTTACATTTTTTCGATTTTCTGATGTTTCATTTTTCGATTTTCAGTTCTTCGATATTTCAATTTTTCAAAGTTTTCGAATTTTTCAGATGTTTCGATTTCTTAATCTTTTGGTTTTTCGACTTTCCGGTTTTAGATTTTCTGTTTTTCAATTGTCATTTTGTCAAATTTTCAATTTTTTAATTTTTCAAATTCGACTTTTATAAACTCGCAATTTTTCGATTTTTTAGTTAATCGATGTTTTGATTTTCCCATTTCTTGACCTTCCAATTCTTTAATTTTTTTGATTTTTTCAGGTTTTTGATTTTTCAATTTTTCGATTTTTTAAGGTTTCTATTTTTCGACTTCACTTTTTTGATTTTTAGATTTTTCAGTTTTTAGTTATTTCAGTTTTAGGATTTTTCAATATTTCAATTCTTCGGCTTTTCTATTTTTAACTTCCGGATTTTTCGATGTTTCTACCTTTTTACTTTTTCGATTTTTCAATTTTTGGATTTTTAAATTTTAGATTTTTCAATCTTTCGATATTTTAATTTTTCAATACTTCTTAATCTTTCGATTTTTCGACTTCCTGGTTTTAGATGTTCTGTTTTTCAATTTTTCGATTTGTTAATTTTCCATTCCCGATTTATCGAGATTTAATTGTCCAGGTTTTCGATTTATCAGATTTTCAATTTTTTATTTTGTCCTATTTCGATTTCCCAGTTTTCCATTTTTTGGTTTTTTGATTTTTCCGTTTTTCCAATTTTTCAACTTTTAACTTTTTGTTTGTCGATTTCTCTATTTTTCGACTTCATCACTTTTCAATTTCTCGTTCTTTTGATCTTTCAATCTTTCAATTTTTCGAAATTTTAAGTTTTTTGATTTCTCGATTTATCGAGATTTGGATTTTTCGACTGTCCATTTCTCAATTTATAAATTGTTCAATTTTTCGATTTTGGCCTATTTCGGTTTCTTAATTGTTCGACTTTTCGACTCCACGATTTCGTGATCTTTTGATTTTTCGATTTCTCGGATGTCGATTTTCCAGTTTTTCGATGTTTCGATTTTTCAGTTATCCGATTTTTTAAAATTGTGAGTTTCGTTTTCTCGATTTTTGGTTATTCGGTTTTTAAATTTTAGATTTTTGAATTTTATATTTTTTCGATTTTCAGTTCTTCGATATTTCAATTTTTCAAAGTTTTCGAATTTTTCAGATGTTTCGATTTCTTAATCTTTTGGTTTTTCGACTTCCCGGTTTTAGATTTCCTGTTTTTCAAATTCGACTTTTATAAACTCTCAATTTTTCGATTTTTCAATTAATCGATGTTTTGATTTTCCCATTTCTTGACCTTCGAGTGTTTCGATTTTCCTGTTCTTCAATTCTTTAATTTTTTGATTTTTTCAGGTTTTTGACTTTTCAATTTTTCGATTTTTTAAGGTTTCTATTTTTCGACTTCACGTTTTTGATTTTTCGATTTTTCAGTTTTTAGTTATTTCAGTTTTAGGATTTTTCAATATTTCAATTCTTCGGCTTTTCTATTTTTGACTTCTGGATTTTTCGATGTTTCTACCTCTTTACTTTTTCGATTTTTCAATTTTTGGATTTTTAAATTTTAGATTTTTCAATCTTTTGATATCTTAATTTTTCCATATTTCTTAATCTTTCGAATTTTCGACTTCCTGGTTTTAGATGTTCTGTTTTTCAATTTTTCGATTTGTTAATTTTACATTCCCGATTTATCGAGATTTAATTATTCAGGTTTTCGATTTACCAGTTTTTCCAGTTTTCCATTTTTTGGTTTTTTGATTTTTCCGTTTTTCCAATTTTTCAACTTTTAACTTTTTGTTTGTCGATTTCTCTACTTTTCGATTTTTCGACTTCATCACTTTTCGATTTCTCGTTCTTTTGATCTTTCAATCTCTCAATTTTTCAAAATTTTAAGTTTTTTGATTTCTCGATTTATCGAGATTTGGATTTTTCGATTTTGGCCTTTTTCGGTTTCTTAATTGTTCGACTTTTCGACTCCGCGATTTTTTGATCTTTTGATTTTTCGATTACCCGGTACCAAAAAAATATTCACTTAGTCGTTATAAAGACCGACCAAACAACTATTTCCCGCAGAAATTATAGTCTAAACCAACCAAATCGCTTCTGAACGCTTAGAGTCGACTTTGGCCTGAGCGCGCTCTGGTCTGTAGATCGAACAAGTTCTCAGGCGACGAGTTGTAGTGAAACAAGTTTTTTTATTGGCATCGACTATTTAAATTTGGCGCTTGAGGACTCCAATGTCAATAAGGGTGGTTTTGCAAAATCAGCCTGTATGTCGCACCTATATTAATCTATGCTTTAACTACATTAACGCATTGGAAGTACACAACCAACGTTAAAAAACACTAAACGTCCATTTCTTTGAATTATTGTAAAATATTGTACAAAAATATAAACAACACTGGATGCGTCGAGTATAAACACCACTAAATAAATAGCACATTACATATTACAATAAGTAATAATTCTTGCCATACAGATGACATTGCATAAATAACGGTCTGTGCAAAATCAAAAATTGAATAACATGGCTAAGAGAAAAATAAACAAAAACAAACTTACCCGTTTTTTAACTGCTGCTCCTGATGTGATATTTGATAGCCACTGCTGCCCTAAGTGAAATGCAAACTGATACAATCTGTTTCTGTTTACATATTTGTTTCTTTTAAGTCTAGCCTGTACACAAACCAAACCATGATGATATGAAAAATGATGAATGGTAAAAATGCCGACTTATAACCTACTGAGTAAAAAAAGCGTGCATCACGTTAGTTTTGTACATTCAATCTCATGACTTATAGTTATAAATATGACTATCATTCATACTAACACACTGTAATTTATACGGAGTATTCAACAAACGTAAAGAATAATTTGGAGAAAAAATGTTTCGCACTGTGAAAAGCTAATTCACGAGGACTTCGAGAAGTTAATGGGAATTTCGGACAATATTCCACCCGTGGTTATAAATTTGGCGGAATCCGATTCCGATGACCCAGGTTTTGATTCTGTAGACGAACCATTTTTTTTGCAACTCAGCACATTATTGAAAATACCAACTTAGGTTCCCAATAAAGTTTATCAAGTTTGATTACAATCGTTCCATAAAATTTAAATGAGCCTAAGAAATTATTTTAATTTTCTTATATTACATATAATTAGTACAGTCAATTCAGCATGATACCGTGCATTTTGGGTAGACAACGATTTGAGGGGGGGGGGGGGGGGGGCAGCGGCCGAATGGCAATATCTCAAGTCCTGAAAACTGTTTTACACTGACGACTTACCACCCTATGACTACCCAAAATGCACAGTTGTCCCTTTCTAACTCTGAATGTACTGAACTAAATATATTTAAAATAATTAAAAGGAAGCATGTTAATTACTATGTACTCAATTCCCTCATCTTATTCGTTGTCTTCGCAGTTCTTTTATTTGTAATAAAACATTCTGAATAGGTGTAACATTGTGTGCTAAAAGGACTAACCAAAAAGTCATTGACTACATAAATGTGTTAATTACATTAAGCTTTTGTAGGAAGCGATCAAATAACAAAAATAACTTACAGATTTGCTTTGTTTCATTTGTTGTTGTTTTTGGTAAGCCATATGTTGCTCTTGATGAAGAACTTCCTCTTGAGTGGTCAAACCCAAACTTCGATACCTAGTCAACTCTGATAATCTATGCCTTAGTTCCTTTTCACGTTCAAGACTTTGTATAAGTTGTTCGTGTTCACTTGAGGTGAGAAATTGGCTAAATACTTTCATATTTTCTCTAAGTTCCCTGTTGAAAAAATACGTTAGTTCAATATACACGAAATGCATAGAATTACTAAAATACCTTTGTTCTTTTGTAAGAGGTCTTTTATTAGAGTCTTTTCTTTGGTTTGAAAAAAATTTAGCAACAAGTTGATAATCTCTAACAATTCGTTTTCGTTTTGCTCTTTCTCTTAATCTTCTAGTATACATATCAACCATTGATAATTTTAAAGCTATTTCCAGGTCAGTATCTTCAGCAGTGTCCAATTGTAAAGACGACACGAGCTGCTCGGCAGACATGTCATATTCCTAGACCAACAAATGTAAATATACTTATATGAAAAGCAGATTATGTATTTTTATTTTCAGAAGTATACCCTTTCGTAGTCGTCTCTATGAGGTTTATATCCTAACAGATGAGCTTCCTCCGGTGTTGCATCCAGTGGCGGCAACCGTGACATAACTAATGGTGACAATGGTCCATTATCTTCCAGAACGTGGTCGGTTAACATCGGTTGACGGTCTCGTGATTCAGCCCATGTTGCTTTGCCGATGTTACCATCTAAATAGCGTGAAATATATTCATCCTTCACCTCTAAAAATAAAATAAGTATAAGTATTCAAATACTTGAAACTTTTAAAACATTATGTGAGCAAGTCAGAAAACTATTTTATTAGGTCAGATTCATCGTCCTTTATTAATTTCGATAAAATAAGGTTCTTACCTTTTCGATTTTAGAGAAATCCTAAGTTTTTCGTTTTTTATTTTTGAATTTTGTTGTCGATTTTTCAGGTTTCAATGTTATAATTTTTAGATCTGACAGTTTCTCGTTTTTTCGATTTTTCCATTTTAAGATATTTTTATTTTTTGATTTTTCAATTTTTTTTTATTGTTCAATGTTACGTTTTTTTTTCAATTTTTTAATTTTACAGTTTTTCGATGTTTATTTAGACATTTTTGGTGTCTAGATATTTTAATTTTTCGATTCTTCAACTTTTGAATTTTTGTCGATTTTTATATTTCTAGAAAATTTTGTTTTCCGTATTTTTCTATTTCTCGATTTTTAATTAATCAGTTTTTCGATTTTACAGTTTTTTTTCAATTTTTAAAATTTTCAGTTGTTTTTTCAATTTTCGAAGTTTTCAGTTTCTCAAGTTTTAAGATTACAATTTTTAAATTTCTCGGTGTTTCAAGTTTCGTTTTTTCTATTTTTGATTTTCAATTTTGCAATTGTTCAATTTTCTGTTTTTTAAATTTTCAGTTTTTTCATTTTTAAGGTTACAATTTTTCCTTTTCCAATTGTTGACCTCTTAATTATTCGATTTTGAGTTTCTTTGTTTTTGCAGTTCTTCCATTTCTCAATTTTTAAGTTGTTCAGTTTTTCAATGTTTCTTTTTCGACTTTTCAGTCTTTAATTTTTTGATTTTTAATAACTTTGTCCTTTTGTTGAAAAATTAAAAAACTAAAACTGAGAAAATGAAAAATTAAAAATAAAATACTTCCAAGTATGTAATTCCAAGTTGTTTCGGTTAATCGATTTTTTATTTTCTCAATTCGAGATTTTTAAATTTTTGTTTTTTTTTATTGTTAACTTTTCGATTTTTCCGTGTTCCGTTTTTACATTTTTCGATTTCCTAATTTTTTAGTTTTCCGGTTTTCATTTAAAAATGTTTGGATTTTGAAATTATTTTTTTTTGTATTTTTGATTTTTCACTTTCTCGATTTTTAATTAATCAAGGTTTTCAGGTTTCAGTATTATATTTTTCGATTTTTCAATTGTTTTAACCTTTTAATTATTCGATTTTGGGATTATTTATTTTTTTAATTCTTCGATATCTCAATTTTTAAATTGTTGGGTTTTTCAGTGTTTCTTTTACGATTTTTTGAACTTTTAAAATTTCAGTTTTAATAAATGTGTCCTTTTGTTGAAAAATTAAAAAACGAAAAATTGAGAAAATGAAAAATTAAAAATAAAATAGGTACTTCCAAGTATGTAATTAAAAAGTATTTTGTTCTTCGATTTTGTGATTTCTCAATTCAAGATTTTTATACATTTCGTTTCGATAACTTTTCGATTTTTCCGTGTTTCGGTTTTCCATTTTTCGAATTTCATTAAGAAATTGTTGGATTTTTCAGTAAAACTTTTGTATTTTTCGATTTACTATCTGTTTCTATCTTTTTCTCAGTTGTTCCATTTTTTAATTGCTTTTTTCGTGGCCAAGTTTTTCGATATTTCAAGCTTGGTTTTTCAATTTTTCCATTTTTTTTCAAATTTACAATTTTGTAATTGTTTCATTTTTAAATTTGTCGATTTTTAATTTTTCAATTGTACAATTCTTGGCTTTTCCACTATCCGATTTTTCAGTTTCTGTATTTTTTCAATTCTTCGATTTCTCAACTTTTAAATATTTCGGTTTTTCAGTGTTTCGTTTTTACGATGTTACAATTTTTTAATTCTTCCATGTTTCGTTTTTACAATTTCTTAATTTTTTAGTTTTCCTCTTCTCATTTTAAAATTTTTGAATTTGGAAATATTTTTTTTTTGTATTTTTGACCGAATTTATAGAAGTTTTTGTTTTTCGTTTCTTCAATTTTTCACTTTCTCGATTTTTAATTAACCAGGGTCTTAAGGTTTCAATCTTTTAATTTTTCCAATTCAATTTCTCATTTTTTCATTTTTCGATATTTCAAGTTTCACTTGGATTTTGAAATGAAAATCTTTTGTATTTTTGATTATTTAATTAATAGAAATTTTTGTTTATCGTTTTTTCAATTTCTCGATTTTTAATTAATCAGGGTTTTCAGGTTTCTATACTACAATTTTTTGATTTTTCCATTGTTTTTTTAATTATCCACTTCTAATTTTTTCATTTTAAAATTTATCGATATTTCAAGTCTCATTTCTCAATTTTTGATTCTCATTTTTTCGTTTTTTTCAATTTTTCTTTATTTTTTCAATTCTTCGACTTCTCAATTTTTAAATTTTTTGATTTTTCAATTTTGTAATTTTTAGACGTTTCAATGTCACAGTTTTCTGATTTTCATATTTTAAAATTTTTCAAAATTTCGGTTTGAATAAATTTGTCCTTTTGTTGAAGAATTAAAAAATGAAAAATCGAGAAAATAAAGAACTAAAAATTGAGAATTTGAAAAATTTTGTATTTTTGATTGTTTAATTAATAGAAGTTTTTGTTTTTCGTTTTTTTAATTTTTCACTTTATCGATTTTTAATTAATCAGGGTTTTCAGGTTTCAATATTACAATTTTTCGATTTTTCAATTGTTTTTTCAATTTTCCCATTGTTCAATTTCTCAATTTTGGATTTTTCAATTTTTAAATTTTTCGATATTTCAAGTTTCATTTTTCAGTTTTTAAGTCTTATTTTTTCGGTTTTTTCAAGTTTTCCTTATTTTTTCAATTCTTCGATTTTTCAATTCAATTCAAAATTTCGGTTTGAATAAATTTGTCCTTTTGTTGAACTATTAAAAAATGACAAATCGAGAAAATAAAGAAATAAAAGTCGAGAATTTGAAAAATTTTATATCGAAAAATTGCACAATTGTTTCTTTTTGTTGATTTTTCAAAAGTTCAGTTTGAATAAATTTGTCCTTTGTTAAACCATTAAAAAATGATAAGTCGAGAAAATGAAAAATTAAATATCGAGAATTTGAAAAATTTTAATCGAATAATTGCAGAATTGCTTCGTTTTGTCGATTTTTCAGTTTCTCGATTTTTTAATTAATCAGTGTTTAAAGGTTTCCATATTACAATTTTTCGTTTTTTTTTAGTTATCCACTTGTTTATTTCTCATTTTTTCATTTTTCAATTTTAAAATTTTTCGATATTTCAAGTTTAATTTTGAATTTTTGATTCTCATTTTTTCGGTTTTTTCAAATTTTCTTTATTTCTTCAATTCTTCGGCTTCTCAATTCTTAAATTTTTTGATTTTTCAATTTTGTAATTTTTAGACGTTTCAATGTCACAATTTTCTGATTTTTATATTTTAAAATTTTTCAAAATTTCGGTTTGAATAAATTTGTCCTTTTGTTGAAGAATTAAAAAATGAAAAATTCTGAAAATAAAGAACTAAAAATTGAGAATTGGAACAATTTCATTTTTCAATTTAAATTTTTTGTATTTTTCGATTTTTTAGTGTCTAGATACTTTGATTTTTCGATTCTTCAACTTTTGAATTTTACAATTTGTCGATTTTTATATCTCTAGAAAATTTTGTTTTCCGTATTTTTCTATTTCTCGATTTTTAATTAATCAGTTTTTCGATTTTACAGTTTCTTTTTTTCAATTTTTAAAATTTTCAGTTGTTTTTTCAATTTTCGAAGTTTTCAGTTTCTCAAGTTTTAAGATTACAATTTTTAAATTTCTCGGTGTTTCAAGTTTCGTTTTTTCTATTTGTGATTTTCAATTTTGCAATTGTTCAATTTTTGTTTTTTAAATTTTCAGTTTTTTCATTTTTAAGGTTACAATTTTTCCTTTTCCAATTGTTGACCTCTTAATTATTCGATTTTGAGTTTCTTTATTTTTTCAATTCTTCGATATCTCAATTTTTAAATTGTTGGGTTTTTCAGTGTTTCTTTTACGATTTTTTGATTTTTTAAAATTTCAGTTTTAATAAATTTGTCCTTTTGTTGAAAAATTAAAAACCGAAAAATTGAGAAAACGAAAAATTAAAATTAAAATAGGTACTTCCCAGTAGGTAATTAAAAATTATTTTGTTTCTTCGATTTTGTGATTTCTCAATTCAAGATTTTTATATATTTCGTTTAGATAATTTTTCGATTTTTCCGTGTTTCGGTTTTACACTTTACGAATTTCATTATGAAATTGTTGGATTTTTCAGTAAAACTTTTGTATTTTTCGATTTTCTATCTGTTGAATTTTACAATTTTTCTATCTTTTTCTCAGTTGTTCCATTTTTTAATTGCTTTTTTCGTTACCCAATTTTCAGTTTGCCAATTTTTTCAATTTTTCGATATTTCAAGCTTGGTTTTTCAATTTTTGATTTTCAATTGTTCCATTTTTTTTCAAATTTACAATTTTGTAATAGTTTCATTTTTAAATTTGTCGATTTTTAATTTTTCAATTGTACAATTCTTGGCTTTTCCATTATCCGATTTTTCAGTTTCTGTATTTTTTCAATTCTTCGATTTCTCAACTTTTAAATATTTCGGTTTTTCAGTGTTTCGTTTTTACGATGTTACAATTTTTTAATTCTTCCATGTTTCAGGATTTGGAAATAATTTTTTTTTGTATTTTTGACTGAATTTATAGAAGTTTTTGTTTTTCGTTTCTTCAATTTTTCACTTTCTCGATTTTTAATTAAGGTTTCAATGTTTTAATTTTTCCAATTCAATTTCTCATTTTTTCATTTTTCGATTTTCCAATTTTTCGATATTTCAAGTTTCACTTGGATTTTGAAATTAAAATCTTTTGTATTTTTGATTATTTAATTTATAGAAATTTTTGTTTATCGTTTTTTCAATTTCTCGATTTTTAATTAATCAGGGTTTTCAGGTTTCTATACTACAATTTTTTGATTTTTCAATTTTCAATTGTTTTCAATTATCCACTTGTTT